AAAACCTATTCGTCCCTAAAACGGCATCCCATCCCACCCAGAACCAGCAGCATCTCTTCAAGGAGCATGACTTCTTCTGTCCACGAGCCACTCACAAAGAATGCAGGCGCGTCGCAGGGCCAGGGCCATGTGGCGTCGGACACTGAGCAACATCAGAGCAACGGCACAGGAACAACAGAAGTCTGCAGAGACGGCACAGAGGAGGACGAGCAGGAGTTCTACATCTGATGCACAACCACTGTCGGAGATTATGGAGGAGGCAGGACTGATGAAGTTAGCGTGTGGTCAGAGATTCAGGATTCTGTCCACTACAAACCTGCAGAGCAGCAACTTCCACCATCTGGATTTGAGAATTCAAGATCTGAGAAACCGTCCTTAGGAAGAAGTGTCTTCTTAAAACCCTCGTATTCAGTTTGGGTGTTTGACACTGAGGTTTGGCCTCATCCAGATATTATCCTGATGCTCAACATGCATGAAGTGACCAGGTGTAAAAGGGGTTTATGACACATTAGTTATCTTTTTTTATGCTGCACCCACCGTGAGTCAAAACAGCTGTTTACATGTTCTCATGATTGCTCGCAGGGGCCCCCCAAAAGCTCAGACCCCTGGGCCCATAAAACCCGTGCGATGATCCGAGCCTGTCTGTCGGTGGTTCAGAAGGCTGTTGGGAAAATGAAAGCGAAATGTACCTGTTTTTAACCTTGAAAAACAATTCACTCATATGCATAAAGTTCACATACATCCCGAAATCAGTTTCTGAAAAAATGCACTAATTAAGCTCTGCCTACAAAAAGTACATGATGTCTTTATTTTGTTTATACCAGAAATAGCCTTATAGTCATACATGTCATATATTACTATTACTGTTACCTGTGCAGGTTCTGAAAATAAAGCCACAAAGTGACTGACTCTGAAATCTGACCCGTTTGGTCTCCATGACGACTTCAGTACTGAATTTAGCTCAGTAGCTGTTCCAGAATAACAGTTCCTGACTTCATCATCTCATCATGAACTCCAGATAAGAAAACAGCATCACACAAACATCCTAACTAGACTAAACCTCCTAAATCCTGTCCTAACTTTAGGATGAACCCCAACAGGGTCCTCACTTCTGTTTAAGGTCCGTTTCTATGGTTTTTAGGCAGCTGTGTCAGCAGCATAGTTCACTACCAGCATAATGAGCTCCATTTATTCCTACTGTAAAACGCTGCTTTCACTGTGAGATGATTTTCTTTTCTAACTCTGCGTTTTAAAGATCTCAGACGCTGCAGACTCGATCTCCACCGCCCCTCTGATCACCTTCGTGTGTTAATGTTGATGATGAAATATTACAGTGATGGTGGTGAATAATGAGGAGACGGAGCTGAACGTGTGTCTGTTTATTAGGAGGAGTAATGTTAGCGCGCTCGGCTAAAGCGTTTGGGAAATGGAGACTGAAACTGGGGAGCGGCGACGCTCTGATAAACAGCAGGGGGCGCTCTCACAGCATTCACTGCTTACAGGTTATTACACTTTGTTAGACCTTTTTTTACATCAGTAACTGTAGCTGTCTGAGTAACTAACGATTACTTTGATTACATGTTTACGTTTCAGCTGTGTGTTTATGATCGGTTGCTAGGAAACAGACATAGCTGGTTGTCGACTTTGATTGAGTAGGTTAAGATTTCCTAACTGGAGATAAGAAGCTGTAAGATCAGATAAAATTCCTAAATTAAGGTCAGATTTGCTTCTGTAATATGAATCTGTGAGAAATCTTATCCTGACCATCAGATCTAAAGACAGAAAGAGAGGAAGTTTCTGGAATTCGCCTCCAGGTCCTGCTTTACATCTAAAGATGCACTGTTCCTTCTCAGAGTTACTGCAGTACGGATTTATAGCTGACAGAATCCTGAACTGCGACTACAACTCATCTGTACCATTGAGGAGTCATTTTACCTGAAAACATAAACAGAAACTCAGATATTTCAGCCTTTGGAACTTTGACTGTTAAACAGAACAACTTCACCAGCTGGAAATGGAATGACGGATGACTGAATGGACGAGTTTAATGAGTAACAGTTAAAGCTTTTATGATACTTTATGTGTAAAACTGTACTTAACTTTGTAAAGCTGTACTTAAGATACAGAACAAATGTTTTATAAATGTGTTTTTGTTTGTTTGAGCTCATTTTATTTAAAGCTTTATTTAACTGGTAAATCTTTTGAAGTTAACAGTGTCGGTGGTGACGAGCTGGTAGTTGTGTGATGGAGGTGATGTGATGTAATTACAGATTTTTACAATGAAAGACGTTTTATTTTAGACGTATTCAGTGGTTTTACTGGATTACAGTACAGGAACCCTCACTGTTTTCTACGGAGCTCAGTGGCCTTGACTGGCCTGTCTGTTAGCAGTGAGTGTGTTTTTGTTCAGAGTGTAAAGAAAATAATATGCTGCATTACTAGAATCTGTATTTGTTACCAAAACACATGTTGGAGTTAAGAACAGCTGATTGGCTTTGTGTAAATACTGACAGTCTTCTTACAGACATTTCCCCAAAATGTAGGAAACGGGGAAAAACTAGAAGTAGATTTACAGATCTGATCTGAGATCAGTGATCAAAAGATGGAAACAGCACAACCTTAGTTTTGCAGATCAGCAGGAAAAAGAAAAAAGACTTATGTTGAGAAATCAGTAACACGTTTTAATGAATTTACAAATTTACTGTACATAATAAACTGTGTTTACAAAAACCTCATGTTGGTGAGAATTTGGACACTGTTTTGATGTAAGATATAATATAATTTTTCATTTTCCAACTTCAATTTGTTTTTCTTCCTGAAGCACTTCTAATGCTCATCAACTCTGCCACATCAAAAACAAAACTGTCCACTGCCACTGCATTCTATAGGGTAGGGGTGTGCAAACTTTTTCACGAACAACTTTTTCAATAACGGAACATGGAAATAGCTGCCATGGTAACAGGTTTAATGACAATTATAAAACGGATAGCTCTGGTCCTAAAATCTGATTGGCTGAGCTGTGTTCGAAGCCATTGTAAAATCCACGATATACCAGCTCTGACCGCCTCACAGCGACTGACCTCTGTATCACTGCGCCACGGCAGGAAAAACCCTTCTGCTGTTAATGGATTAATCTTTGACTCTAACGCTGATCACAGTAGTACCGAGTGCACTGATGAAGAAAGAACCCGGTTCTGTTTAAACTGAGGGGCTGGTCAGCTGGCTAACAGGATAAAAGATAGCAAACATGCTAAACAGCTCCATCATTAATATCACAGGCTTGAATTAAAGTATTTACGGTGTGATTCACTGAAAAACGGCAGAATAAAAGTCTAAAGAACGTCATCTGACTGTTGTACACACTTCAAATGTCCGTGTTTCAGTCAGAGGTCACGTCAAATCCAGACTGAATCCCAAACGGCTCTGTACTCCCTAAATAGTGAGCTGTGTAACATTAAGTTTAGAAATTCTTGCTTCTGCTGCCAGATACTGCCCTGCCTGTGTCTGAATCCCAAATGACCATTTAAAGTGATATTTTGCTCTGTTGTTCTGCAGGGGTCAGTATTTAAACTCCTACGTAGTGCACTCTGTAGGGAGCAGGGAGCCGTTTGAGATTCAGCCCCAGCGTGAGAAAAGTGGTGTCGTCAGACTGGCAGAGACTCGCGGTGCTGATTTGGTGACCAAAAATACAGTATTTGCATTAAACAGTGCTGTTATCATACCATCAAGTCATATCATATCATATCATATCATATCAAGTTTTAGAAATCATGAACTGTCTGCAGTTTACAGTGATGGGTGACCGAACATTCTTCTCCTCATTCAGCGGTCAGTGGTTGCTTAGCAACAATACCGTACTCTAAAGGAGCTACATTTCTTGGCGGAATATTTGTTTATGTCAATTATTATTAATGATAACGAGGCAGTGAGTTACAGTGATTTTATCACAGTGAAGGTGTGGGTTTTACTCCACGTCGTGCCAAAGAACACCCTTCCCATGATTAAATCACAGTAACCCACTGGCTCTCCTGGCTTCTTGCCTTAGTCGCATAAGCAGTGCATGTGAAACGTAATAAAACGTTTTGGTTAAAACCCCAAACAAAGTAATTAAGCACAAAAGAATCCAGTGGGGCAAATAAAGTGATTTTAAAATTTAACATACATTCAGTGCAACATAAGTGTTGAAATCGAATGAGCCAACTGAGTATCACAAAACAGCGATGAACAGCTCTCTAATTCATTCATTCTAATGAGCTTGTTAGATGGACAGTATGACAGCATGTTAGCTCATGTAACAGTTTGGACAAAATCACAGATGGCAGTGTTATCATCACATCTGCTGCAGTCAGTTCACCTCCTCGCCTACAGAGGTCACTCTCAGCAGAGTTCTAGACCTACCTTCTCACCTTCTAATCAGCTGCCATTTTGTGTATAAAAGGCCTTTGTTGTGGTCAGTTTCTTCGCCCAGTCTTGTACCGGCGATGCCCTGCGACTCGTCTCGCTACGACTTTCTGCTCTGACTGAGGGCTTCTGAGTGCTGGACTGTGTTTCTGTGTTTTCCTGTCTGAGTCTGACTGAGTTTAGACAAAGATAACAAAATGTTTTTAAATGATTTCTTTAACTGAAGGAGGTGCTGTTCAGCCCATCAGCCCCATGTGAAACAGGACCTGCCTGTCTGTCGGTGTGAAGCAGCTGGAAGGTCTCAAAATGCAGCTCCTGATGCGTCTAAAGAGATTCAACACAGATCAGAAACAGTCACTGAAATCTACCGTCCGGAAAGGGTTACAAAGCCGGTGCTGAGGCTCTGAGACTCCAGAGGACCACAGTGAGAGCCATAATCCACAAATGGAGAAAACACACATATATACTGCCACCTGGTGGTTTGAGAACAAAAAACATAGCACATAGCCCCAGTCTCAGGCATCTGAGACAATGATCTGTACAGATATTTATCGAGGTAAGAATTTATTGGTCAAAAAGAAAATTGATTTGATGTGTTTTCCAAAGCTCTCATGCTGCTTACCTTCTTTGAAATTTCTCAGAAACTTGCAGGCCTGACAAGTATTTGTGTTTTAGATGTTGTTTGGGCCAAAGGGCCAAATTAGACATGAGCTCTGTGGAAACATTCATAACTTAATGGAAATATTCAATTCAGCAAATTTGTTCCTGGGAAAAGTTAAAGGTGACACACCCAGCATCAGACTCGTCCAGAGAGCTGCCTGAGGCAGGAAATCAATCAATCAACCTTTATTTTGACATTAAGGGTGACTCATTAACAATGTATCTGTATCTGAGACTGAAAAAGATGAAATTAAATTTATCAACTAAAACAAATGAAAAATCAGCAAAACAGAAGATTTATAAAAAAATAAAAACATAACAGCTCAAATAGGAAACATGAAATATCAATAAAATGTATAATGAACACAGTAAAAGTAAAAACTGTTACATATCATATTACATATATATTAGATAATAAGCAATAAGAAAACTACAATTTTACTAGAGCAGAGCAGTGAAAGAATTAAGGTCAAATAACAGTTGCAATAAAATAGTGAGGTAAATTAAATAAATGACCAGAGAAGAAATGAATGTCTCTGAATGGTGCCCAGTAAGGAGGCCTCGTGGGTCTTAAACCGTGTCTGATGAGGTGTTTGCCCTGTGGCAGGGTCACTAATAGACAGACCGCTGTAACCACTGAACTACTGAGAATTTTTACCAACTCTTCTGGTCTTTTCAGTCCCGGTTTAGCAGCCTAGCAAACTCAGACCAATCGGCTGTGTTGCAAATATAAATATCACATGTGATGCTACTCAGCCAGTCAGATCTGTGCATTATGATGAATACTGTGACTCGAGTCAGTGACACATTCTGGTGCCTCGGGCTAGCGCGACCACTGAAACAGTGCTCCTGCTTCACAGACGGGTTTTTAAATGTGCTGAAAGGGCTGAAAGGGCTGACCCAGAATCGCTTTAGCAGTTCTGAGTCTTATTTTTATTATTTTTTTTAATTATACTTCCAGAAAAACACTATTAGTGAAATAGAGACGACAAGGCTAAAGTCGGCTTCATTCACCAGCCTCTTGTTTGAACTTAGTTTAGTGATTTCGAGCAAACAGAAAACATAAAAACAAGTCAAACACAGAAGCGAATGTTAAACAGGATGGGAGATTATTATTATTCTGTTTTCACTCCAGCAAAATGTATTTATTTTTATTTATTTGTTTATTTATTTTTTATTATTATTTTTAATGTGTCAGGGCATGCAGAAACCCCTGGCCAGTGAGTGGAAGTGCAGTAGGCATTCCTTTAGATATTACTGTATATAAAATGTTCATAATCATAATGACACCAAACTGCCATCCATTAAGGGAGAGGAGGGTGTGTGTGTGTGTGTGGGCGTGCACGGGGGGGGGTAATTTCAATGTCGATATGGATTTGTAGACACATTTGCCAACTTTATGAGAAGTTATTGAGATGTGATTAATACAACAGGAACAATTTTCAATAAAATGTAAAATTACAGTTTAAAAGACTGAAAACTCTGCACTCACTAAATCCAAACTTTATTATCAGGGATATGAAACCTACTGTAAAACATTGTGTCACAAAGTGTCCTGATACCAAATTTGAGCCATTTCTGTCAAACAGAAAAAGATGTGTGTCTAAATGTCTTACTGTACTTATTTTAAGTCTCGAGGCGTGAACAGGTCAGTGTGATCCTACCTCGGTCTTCCTCGTGGATCCTCGTGCTCCAGCTGCCAGATCGCTTTGTTGCAGCTGACTTTCCTCTCTAAGAGTTCAGGTTGGTTGGTGAGATTGTTTTGCTTGTCTCTAAGAAATTCACACATGCTGGTCAAGAGATGCACATCAGCACAGCCTGCATTTACAGGAGCAAACTGGGTCAGCGCCACCAGGACTGCCCTCACCATCATCATCATCATCATCATCAGGACATGATCACCAAGACGCCTCAGTCTTTGTTCCAAAATGTTCAGATCCACAGGCCGCCGTCCAGCTGTGATGAGGGTTGCGTAGTTCTGTGAAAAGCTGCTGAACATTAACAGAGGCCGTCGAGGTTAAAGAGACGTCCAGTCTAGTTTACACTCTGGGAAGGAGAAGAACAGGAAATACATTCAGCAGGAAAAGGAAATAAGGACGGTATTGGTGCCCAGTCCACAAACACAGAGTGGGCAGTTTACCTGGTACCTGCACTCACTGGCCGTTTAATACGTATAGTAGGATGCAAAGTTTGGGTTTCCCTGTTAAAATAAATACAACAGTGCTCGTTTAGTCACATTTCACTGTCTATCAGTACTGACTCCACTTATCTCAGCGTTTATTCAGTATCAATATATATTCAACACTCCTAGATATCAAGGTCCATTTCATATACATTACAGTTCATCGTTCATATTAGAGTTTAAATTTAAATATTTGATGTCTGAAACAAGCCGTTCATAACAGATACGACTGAATGGAGGAAAACGGATCCTCTTAAAATGCACTAATTCCTGACTGTACCTGTTGTTTGGCCGTTTAAGCCGGTGTGTGTTTGTTGACGTGTTTGTGCACTCAGAGCTGCCCAGGCGTCACAGTGTTCTAACGGAGATCCCTGAAGACTTTTCTCTCATTTAGAAACACCTTCAGAAACACTTTCTGCTCTGTGAAATCAACACTAAACCCGCAGTTCAGCCACAGCTCAGGTTTCATAGCAGCAATTCACTGACAGTAAATCGTGTTATGCAAAAATATATTTAAATGAAAACTGGAGCCCAGGTGGTGGAACGAACTCCCACTGGCTGCCTGAACAGCTGAGTCTCTCGCGGCCTTCATACACAGACTGAAGTCCCTTTATACAGCACTGAGTTAAGTGTTTATTGTACTGCACTGCTCTGTGTTTAACTCTGTTCCTTTCTCTCTGTTTCACCGTGGCCTTTTGTTTCTAGCAGTGTCTGAGCTCAGGTCTGTCTTTCTCTATAACCTGTTTAACCAGCAAAGATACTTTCTCTGGACAGACAAAGCACTTTGTGTAAGTCGCTCTGGATAAGCGCGTCTGCTAAACGCTGTAAATGTAAATAAATATTTACATGTGAACTGAAAGTGCATTACATTACTGACCTTTCCACATGCAGTGAAGGGGAGCATTCCCTGGAAAATTTGGGAAGTGTTAAGAAAGGTCAGGGGACAGCAGGGGAACAGATCCAAGCACAGAGAGGAAAACCTGTAAGAAAGGGCTGAATGAACCAGGAGCGCCTGATTTGTTGTGTATTATTATTATTAGAGTTCTGGTTTATAGATTATTAGAATATGAATGATACTGATGGGTGAGGAAGAGCCTGAATGTAACGGTTGTGCACGTTTGGGTTGAGACCTCTCAGAGTTGGATCGAAACACTGACGAGACGAATGGCGGCCTGACGAGTTAGGACTGCAAATGAGAACATGATCAGACAACAAAGAGGCTCCGTCTCCAGCTCTGAGAGGAAGATCGGCTTTATTTCTGCCCCTTTGCCCTCGGTAGACGGGGGCAGTTTATTGTGGCTCTGCTTTTCTTGTTTTGTTGGTCTTGGAGTCGTTTCTTGTTTAAGTCCTCTTTTTCTCTTTTTAGCTCTTTTTCTTCTTTTCTTCTTGGGGTTGTTTCTCTTTATAGACCTCTTTTCTTTTTGAGAAAGACGCTGAGAACCGTATCGGTCACCCCTCTACAAAGGTGTGACGCTGACTGCTGTTTGTCAGGGCCTTAAACACAGAGGTCTACAGGTGTGTCTGGTTGGTGCTGATTGGCCTGTGGGCTTCTGGGAACTGGAGTTTGACAGGTAAATAGTGCTTTGCTGCTGTCGCCCTCTGCTGGCAACAGATGGCACAGGCTGAACCCATACAAAAGGGTTTTTAACACAGTAAATTGTTTAAAACAGTAAATTGTTTAAAAATATTAGATATAAAGTTCACACTGTTACTGATATATTAGTTCTCAATAATTGCACATTTTATCAGACGGTGGATTTTTCTAACACAAAGCAGCCTCCTGTGTGTGTGTGTGTGTGTGTGTGTGTGTGTATATATATATATACACATTTTTTTCAGTTTTCTCAGCTTTTGGCAGTATGCCTTTTGCTCTTTACATTGTGTGTAAATTTTATGATGAATGGACCAAAAGAAATGAGCCAAATTACTCTGAAATAATTCTGGTTCCATTGACTTACATTAAAAGTGGAGTACATTTCTCCTGTAAAGTTATTTTGGAGATACAAGGTTTCGTAATTAGATTTTTAATTTAATGATTTTCTCTTTTAAGTCTATAGTTTTAATCATGTTCTTTATTTCTATTCTTGTTTACTTCACTTTTTTTAAACAACTCTGTGTTTTCTGATTCTGTATTTTCTCATTTGTAAAGCACTTTGATTGACAGGAGTGTATAAGGGGGGGTGCTATTTAAATAAACTTGCCTTGCCAATAGGTGGCGTTTGACCTCTGTGTAAGTTTATTTTAAATAAGTAAGAAAGTAAGGCGCTGGAAGTTGTGACGTATGATGACTGTTGTTGAGCGTCCCGAACGCGACGCCGGCTGAGGTTCCTTTATGGTTAAATCGCTGCCCGGTGGCAGAGCTGCCCCTGGGGGCAGTGACAGTTAGACATAATCACTTAGCCGCACAATGCGCGGTCACATAATGCCGTTATGCTTCACATCATAACAATAGCAGAACCGTTTTTGGTGCTATATAGAACCCTTTTCAAAAAGGTTCTATATAGAACCGTCTACAGCACATTCTCCATCAATCTAAAGAACCATTTCACCAAGCAAAGAACCCCTTAATCATGTAAAGGGTTCTTTGAGTGTTCATGGTTCTATATAGAACCTTTTTCTTTACTAAAGAACCCTTAAAGAACCATAGTTTTTAAGTGTGTACTGTACTTATTTATTATTTATATTGTTTTTCACTATTAATCTCTTCGTCTTTATTTCTACTTTTAATGTTCCTTTTGCTTTTTGTTGATGTCGGAACAAAACCGTGTATCTCCATTTTTGTCGTTTTTTGACATAATTTGAAAATACCTGTGGCCCTTTACATTTTGTATGAATTTTATGATGTACGGATCAAAAGAAATGGCCAAAAATGACAAAAAACTCTGGTTCCATTGACTTACATTAAAAGTAGAGTATGTTTTTTCCTTCTCCTGTAAAGTTACCGTTTTGGAGATACAAGTTTTTTTCTGACAGCAGCATTTTATTTATGTAAAGTGCAATAAATTGACTTTGCGTAAGAAATGTGCTATACAATAAACATAATAAATAAAAATAAGCTTGCCTTGCCTGTATTAAGTGGACAGAGTGTGGACAGCGGGCAGGTGTGCTTAATAAAGTCAGCCAGTACAGGCTTTAAAAAGCACCCACTGCAAACTTTATCAACTCATTTTATTGCCTCACTTTTGGTGCAAAATAGTGCTGTTAAATAAACAGATTAAATCTAAAACACAGGTCTGACAGAAAAGTTATAAACAAGGCTGCAGCCAACAACACAGTAATCAAATAACTGTAACAAAATCACAGGCTCATATTCACACATTCAATTCTCAGATACTTCGAGTGCCCATGAATAATACACAGACATTATAGAGAAACCTGTAAAATTCAATATATATTCAGCATATCTGATAAATATGCTGTGAAATACATAAATAAATCAATAAATAAATAAATATTCAACAATAAATACAGAAAAAGGACTAGGCTCAGATTCCAACACAGACAGTGTTTTGGGATTTTTCTGCCCAACAAGCAACTCTGCAATGTTGCAGCTTTTATAATCAGAAAACATTTAGCAAAAGTGCTGCTTGTAACGACTTGAACAGCAAAAACCCTTCAACGTAAAATTATTCAAACTCACATCCTTAAATATAACCTGAGACACGGACGCGGCGAACCATCAGCTCTGTTTAGTCTGAGTTAACGCTTCACCGCAGACGACAGCACAGTTATAACACTGACACTGGAGGGATGAACGCTGCGGAACTGTCCCCGTCAGGGATGATAATGAAACCACATTTTTAAACAAAAGTCTATTTAAAGCAGTAGTTCTCAAAGCAGCCGAGCCACTTCTGTCTGGACGCTGTCATAGAGGACTGTTTAAGTCCTGTTTCAGTGCAGTAAATAAAAAGAATGGAGACTGCAACCTGTTAAAAGTCTTGCTAGTACAGAAGCAACAAAACTGCTTTTCTTTTCTGATACTGGAACCTTGAGTACTGGCCAGTATCTCCACTTTTACAATGCCCTTTTTTCATTAAAACTTACTAAGTTTTACACTGAGCTATTTTTAATTGAAGCACTTAAGATGAGCTTCTAAAAGTCACCATCGTGCTCAAATTAATCAAACACTCCACCACCCTGTAAGAGGAAATCCACAGCTCATCTCACAGTGTGAGTTTGTGCCACTTCAGGACAGATTTGTTCAAAGATCTGATTGCTTTTTTCTGATACTGGTCCGATATCTGGTATCAGATCAGTGTTCTCTCTACTTGCTAGCAAAACCCTGAGTTTACACCACACTTATCTACATATACAGTACGTCGTTAGTTCTGCCCTCGAGTGACCTCTGAGCCTCTTGGTAACCTTGGTGTGATTTCAGTCTTTACTGAGGGACATGTAGACGATCTCCGTGTGGAAGTGAGCGCTTGCATTCAAGAGGCAGCACAGGTGCTGTAATGGATCCACGTCTCCGTTGTGATTTCCTGTTTGGTTTTAATAAACAGATAAATAAAATCACAAAAGTCATTAATTGATTAGCTGATTAAATTCACATTTAATTTCCAATATAGAGCAGTTCCTTATTTAAACAAGCAGGTCTATCAGTTAAACGTTCTTACATGGTACCAAAACAAAAACAAATATTCACAGGTAATAAGACAAACAACCATTTCATCCATGAGAGAAAGTGTGACGCATAGCAGTGTAAGGAAATCGAAAAAGGCACCCAGGTCTTCAGCTGAAAAGACCTAATGAGGTAATAACTAAACAAATGAGCAAATAAATAAATACATAACTAAGATTAATTATACAGAAATCCATATTACATCACAACAGCAAATAACTTCCTTCCAGGTGGATATTTAGCCTGAGAGTTATGTGTGAGTTATTCAGATACGCTGAGTGATCTTTGAAACAAACATTAAAAAATCAAAACACAGAGTGTAAGTCTAGATATCTGCAGCTAGATAAATTAGATGCTCTTCATGTCACTGTTGTAGATATTAGTAAGCCTGCATGCTGTTGTGGTCCAAGATGACAAAAACATTCTAGTTTTTAATCAGAAACGTGTTCTGAGAGAACGAGAGGTACGTACTCTGAGACGTGCTGAAAGTCTTTAATTTCGTATTACGTAGTTTTCTGTTCAGTTATAATAATAATGGGTTTGCTCAACAATCGTGTTCAACTCTTCCAGGAAGAATGAGATACACACAGTGTGTCCCAATTCAGGGGCTGGATCCTTCGAAGGCTGCTTAGACCCGCGAAGGCTGAACCGAAATGAGACCGTCTGCCCTACGGCACAGCACCGCTGTTCCCGCCCTCAGCGCTGCGCCATGAAACGCCGCTCTGATCAAGTTCTTCTAAAGTTCTTTAAAGACGGAGCCAGAAACTCTGATTTTAGTTGTTTATTTTTTCATTTATTAGAGCTGGAGATGCTGCACCGCCGGCTGTTTTTAAACATCTGTATCGTCAGCCGTTCGCCTCAGTTTAAACCCAACACTTATATTTATATTTATTATATAAGTGTCTCTTCAGCCGCCATTCGCTTCTCTGCTGACGCCGCCACGTTCTTGAATCCTCGCCGGCACACAGTGAACCTCGGGATATGTTGGCTGGCGAAGGCTCCACCTGTTGCCATGGAAAAGAAGGACACGTTTCTCGGCCGCATTTGAAGGAGCTTTCGAAATGGGACAGTCTAGTCGTGCCGCTGTGACGCAATCGGCCTTCAAATTCAGCCTCTGAAGGACGCAGCCCCTGAATTGGGACACACCGCTGGCCTCTCACCTGCCATAACGACCTCATAGAGCTCCATGGTGACTTCAGAAAGCATGTTCTCCACACTCTGGATGAAGGACCACTTCTCTGAGGCCACGGAGAACACCTGACACACCTGCTGGGTCATCTTCACTGCCCACTTCATGCAGTAGCCGTCCTTCTCACTCACCTGTCACACAATTATTACCATTATTATATCTCACTGGTTTCTGAACATTTTGCAAACATTTTCAAACATGACGTAAGTTTATTTTAAGGACTCTCAACTGATTTTTTCTTGTTTGGCATCAGTGGACAAATTAGGATTTAACACCCAAATCACATTCGGCACAATTCAAAACTTAGGCCTGTCATGATCATCACATGATTAACTGGCAGGTAAATAATGGCAATTAACAATTTAACAAACTGTTCACTACACGCACCTATTAAAGTGGACAAACTGCTTACTAGCGGTCATTAACCAGTAGATCCCAGCTGATGAAGGAAACAGCTGGAGCTCATAAACAATCATTACGCACCACTTTGTTTTATTTATATGCATTTGCCTCAACTTACCTGAAGAAAAGTCACTCAACTGACATTCTGTTTGTTTCAACGTTAATGATGAATGAGATCAGCTGCGAAATAACTGTGGTCAACTTAAATGACTGCGATCAGATCAACTGTATTAGTAATAAATATGAAAGGCCTATCAAAGCTATAATTCAATGAAGCCATGACATCAATAAACAGTTTTATTCCTGACTTCACTGAATTGTTTGAGAGGATCTGAGTTTGTAAATCATAACATCAGGGCAGTTTTATCTGTAATAAGCGGGGCGATGGCTGACACTGAACCATTCTTGACAGACACAGTATATTAAATACTGTTACGAAAAACATCAGAATACATAGCAAAGTGGTACCAGCTACAGAGAAATCTTCCAAATATGTAGGTATGAACAGCTTAAAGTGGTAGAAAACATACAAACCTTTAAGGCAATGTTGGAAACAATGGTACATGATACATTGTTTTTGCTTCAGAGAATTACTTTCATGTTTTTACGCTGAAGCGGCTGCCAGTGCTGAATAACAATTTTGTGTTGTGAGAAATTAGAGAACCCACATTTTCACAAATGGAGGGTCACAGTTATCATTTAGCACAAGAAAAGCGAGGGAGGGTGAATCTTCACCGTCACAGAACTGAAAACATGAAGAAGCGAAACGAAATCGGGACAGAAAACCTGACGGCCACCGTAGGTTCTGCTGCACGCTTGGAAAGGGAAGGGTGAGGGAGCTGGTCTGCAATCTGCAACCTCAGCACTACATGCCACATACCACACCTTTAAACAGGTGTATTTCTTACCAGAATGAGAAAGATGAGGAGCCGAGAGATCTCAGAGAGCCTGCCGTTGATGGCCTTGCTTGCTAGAACACTGTAGCAGATACTCTTCCCACACAGTATGAGGAGACGCGCCATGTTCTCCGTATGCCATGGAAGTGGCGTAACTGGAAATTACACAGGCACATAGAACAGCATCAGGTCATTGAATTACCTATAATCACATGACGAAGACCTGATGAGAACAATCTTCTGTTCTAAAGACGTTTCTGTCTCTTACCCATCATCTCATCCATGATGGAGAGAACGGTGTCAGGTCTCCAGCCTTTGGTCTCTTCGTGATCATGGAGGAGAATAATGGCCTTGGCCAAGTCCCAAAGGCCACCTTGCCCCACCACGTGATCACAAACACGCTGCCAGCCTATCTTACCTGGAAGGACAAGCGCTCTGTCAGACCTTAGCAAGCATGCACATTATGCTAACACTGCATTTACACTGCTCCAGCGCATCAACGCTCCACAACATGTCCCATTCGTTTTCAATGGAAGCGCTGATTCGGACGCGGCAGTCCCGTATACCAAATGTGGTGTTTGAGAAATGCAGAGGTTTGAAATTCTTACTGTCTTGTGATTTCAAATGTAGTAAACTTCCTATTTAAAACGTGTCAATTTTAACAAGCTGGTGATCCATAACGGACACTTTCAGAGCTGGACTTTGGCTTAGAGAAAGGAGAAGAATTAAAGGCTCTTCTCGGAATATCGTCTGTCAGACTTGGAAGTGTCCCGACTGTATCTTAAGTAATAAGTAAAATGCAGCTTAATTACACAAAATAACCTATTTTAACACTATTTTAAGACCTGATATCACGCATGTAAAATCTTTTGTTTTAATTGGAATGATATATTTTGACACTACTCGCATATTTTAGATTAGATTTATGCCATTTAGTAGACATTCAGTTATACAACTGAGTTGTATGATATAGTTTCTCATTAACCTGCTGGACCCCATGAATGTCTCAAAATCAAAATTCTGGGGGTCCCTGCTTATAACTTATTTCATTATATTGTATTCTCTTTCTGTTTCCCCCACAATCAGCTTCTGTCTCTGGTGTTCTTAACTAACTAGAGCTGCAGCACTGCTCTGCCTCAGGGTGGCGCTGTAGCAGACTGGCTCACCCAGTTGGTCCTTCATAGCCTAGAAACTGTAACTCTGCCCGGATTCCTCTGAAAAACTTTCCAATGAGCTGCAGCAGATCTGTAAATCTGAAAACTCGCCCAGTTTCCCAAGAGTTTGGAGTGAAGAGTGACTGTTCCTCATTTCTCACACTGAAGACAGAAGAGGAGACGAGGAAGATCTCAGTTACTGTGAGGAAGAGCGCAGAACCGCACTAGAACAGAGACTCTACAGAAGAGGAGACGAGGAAGATCTCAGTTACTGTGAGGAAGAGCGCAGAACCGCACTAGAACAGAGACTCTACAGAAGAGGAGACGAGGAAGATCTCAGTTACTGTGAGGAAGAGCGCAGAACCGCACTAGAACAGAGACTCTACAGAAGAGGAGACGAGGAAGATCTCAGTTACTGTGAGGAAGAGCGCAGAACCGCACTAGAACAGAGACTCTACAGAAGAGGAGACGAGGAAGATCTCAGTTAATGTGAGGAAGAGCGCAGAACCGCACTAGAACAGAGACTCTACAGGAGAACAGCTGATAAAACAGACATTTACTGACATTGAAGCATCAGCGCCGCTATGGGACAACACGGGACCCCCGAATACCAGGGGGGATTTTCCCCCAATTTTCTCCCCAGTTTAGTTGTTTCCAGTTCCACCCACTAGTTCCGTCTCCCCCAATCACACGGTACCACCAGCTCTAGGAGGGTGAAGGCAAACACAGTCTTCCTCCGAGTTCCGTGAAGCTCCACAGCATAGACACTTTTCCACATATTTCCATGATGTCTGGGAATGTCCAGTAAATGAAATGATATAATAAATGATCAGCCAAAAAAACAAAAGCAAGTGAAGATGAAATATTACCATCAGACTGAAGTGGTCCGAAGAGGATGAAGAGCAGGCGAGCCTGGCTGACGATCGGCCAGGGTCTGAGGATGCACATCAGCCAGAAGAAAGAATCCCGTCTTCTTTGCCACTGATTTAAGAGCACACCTCTGCAGAAGAGACGGACCGCCAGCTCCAACCGGTGACATGCACCTTATACAACAACAGAACAAAGGGTAAAGGTTTATTACAGTAGTGTAATATGGATCAAACTAAGGAACATCTGAAGCAGCAACCGATTCAACATTTGTGTCTGATGAGATAAACGACACAAATCTTCTTCAAAGTCAATAAATGAGACTTTTGACTTACTCAGAATATCAAACAGATCAGTACCATGTTTTCATTCTACATACAGCCTGAAGACATCAGAGTCAATACAGCGCTTGGCAGTGGCATGTACTAAGGCCTTTCAGACTCACAGCCCAAATCTGATTTCTGTCGTATCCAGAGTGATTTTGATCGTCTGAACAGCAAAATTGGATCAAACCACATTTGGAGGTGGTTTGAAATGCGACTCCAGTCAGATTTGTACAGACGTGTCTCAGTCTGGACCCTCAAATAAGATTTCAAAGTGTCTTTTTCGTCACTCACGACACGACAAACAGCGACAATGTCGAGTCCAGAGTGATGAAGTTCTGGAATTCAAGAAGAGCTCCAAAGATTCATGATGATGAAGAGAGTTCTGAGGAGTTTGGAGGGGAGATGATGCTCCTCCATCTCTCCTGCGTCCGCAACTGAAATCCACGTCACCAGCGTAGCTACGTAGTTACTGATGCCTATGTTGTTACCATGGCAACCCATGCAGATAGACTGGAGATGTCTGGACACACAAATCTGATCTGATTGCTCACAGATAACAGAGCGGACAGTCGACTCAAAAGATCTGATTTAAGGAAGAAATCAGATTCGTCTGCAGTCTGAACAGCCTTTTTGTCGACTAGTCAGGTGCTTCTTCACCCTGTAATCAACAGATCACTAAAGAGAAACTCAATGTTGGAAACCATTTCCTTTCCTGCTCCTCTCATGGCTGTGTAATCCTCCTTTTGTTAAACTGTTAATGAAGGTCATTATTGTGTCACAATTGTGAAACTGAATGTGTGCAAATTCCATGTGGCATCATTGGTCAATGACCAAAATATATTTTTAGTCAAAAACAACGTGGAATTTAGGAACTGGTTGATCAGCTGACCTCAACGTCCATATTACAAAAAAATGGCTGATATTTAAGATTCACTGACATCATTTTTAAACCCATTTATGCCCATTCTGGAATTTCCTTCACTACAGCGGTTCTTACAGCTTCACCGAGAACATTCCTCAAAAAGAAACCAAAACTGGTTGAACTCTTTGGCTACAGCGTCCGATTTATTTATTGTGCTTTGGTCCAAAAGTGTTCCTTTTTTTGTCATTTTTGCATATTTTCATGAAAAACAAATGTTCTGTTCGTATCACACACAAAGGACACAAAGCACGTGTGCTGTCTAGGAGGGTTCAATACATTTCCATGGACACCACACTGTATTAGAAAAACTGTGTCCCCCTAAATCCTTCTTTTATACACACTGAACTACAAACTCACACACACATGCAATTTGGGCCAAAGATTAAAAAAGGTACAATAAGCAAACAGATGGGTTAAAAAAGTACCACCTGATTCAGAACAGAAGTCAAATTACAATAATAAACGGGTATCTTGCGGACATCATTGATGACAAGATTTTTGAGAAAAATTATTGTGAATTTATTTTTGGAGCGTTTCCTTGTTTCTCACAATTCTGACTTGGATTAATATTAAAAATACGAAGCATAAGAGTTATAAAGGTTCAGATATTGGCTGGACAGGCAGTGCCACAAAGTGGCCAGTTTCCTTGGTGAACTTTTTAAGTCTTTGGGCATAAATGTTTTTCAGGATAAAGGACAATATCACTACAAGCTGTATTTCCTCCTCTCAAATGAACTATAGTGAAGCAATAAAAGTGAGAACTTATGTCTTTTAAGATTCACAGAGTTCAAAAGAATACAAATTTTTAACGTTTTCTGAAGCTCACTATAGACGTCAGTAACTGCTGTCCTTTCACCCACCTGGCCTGCATGTAACCGCTGCCTCGACTGTCCGCTGAAGGTTTGTGGTCTCACACAAAAAGTCAAAGACACGGTGACACTCCAGTTCATCCCAACCAGCTATCAGGGTCTACAGTGATCAGGACTGAACATTACTGTCATAAAGGTTCAGCAGACAGAAAGAAGGAAACTCCTTCTACGATGCAGAATGTTTACACTCAGTGGCCACTGCACCAGGTTCACCTCGCTGACCGGTACGGAAAGTTTCATTTATGCATATCAATCAACTAACCTTTCAGCACGACAGTGTTTATATAAAAACAAACAAATAATAAAGTAAAATAGCAGAATCGCAACTCACTACTGACCACATACAAGGTATGAGTAGGGAAACATGGGGAAAATGACCCCTTAAGAACAGCGGACCTCATTCACCAAACGTTCTTAAGAAGAAATTCCTTCTTAACCCCACTTACGCAGTTTGTACGAAGATTCTGACTCACCAATCTTCTCTTATGTGTGATTTGTTCTCAGGTAAGAGCAGAATCTACACACACTCTATGGCGGACCAGATCTGCCAAAAGGAAAAATAAATAAAACTTGAAAATAAATTACTCAATAAATTAATCAATAAGTAAAAATAACTAAATAATAAATAAATAAACTTAAATAAAAGATAAATTGCTTATTTTGGTTGTAATTATACACATATTTCTTTTTCTGCAGTTACATATTTCTCAGTGTATTTATTTCTGCATTATTTATAATTTTTTTACTACTATGTTCATTTCAATATATTTTTTCTGTATCTATCTTTTAATAATTGTTTGCTTTATTCATTGATTCATTAATTCATCTACTTATTTCTGCATTTCTTCCTTCATATGATAATGAGGGGGCGTGTTTTTCACGTTCAGGTTTAGCAATCAGGCCCAGGAGGAGAAGAGCTGATTAAACTATTTCACCAACTCCATAAAGAGCTGCAGAGTCACGGACAGACAAACCTGCCGATACATAACTCTCGATGGCTTCTGCAGGCAGTGTGGGAGAAGGGCTTCCGAATGTCTGTGTGATCTGAATTTTGCAGAAGAACATGATGAACCGCCTCCTCCAGAGTTCTGAACACTACGGGTCGACCTCTGAATCAGCAGATCAGCTAAACGGTCATTTATTTTTTATTTTAGTTACTTTTCATTCTGGCAGATCTGGTTCTCCTCAACACTCAAGAGCACAAAGGTGAGAACAGTTCTGCGCTTTAAGAACACGTCATGAATCTGACGGAGACTTTTTCTCAGGAGAATGAGACACACTGTCCATTTACTGTAAAGCTAAACTAACTACACTTATGCCCAAGTTTAGCATATTCAGGGTAACGACGCATAAACACACATACAGTTAGAGGAAACGAAGCAGAACAGCAGACAATTTTGCTGTAATAGCACAAAAATGGAAATCTTATAAAGGGCTATCTGAGCCCACCATCAGGGACAGAAGCCCCACTGAATCGTTCATCAACATGTTGTCGAGTTTAACAGAACATACAATTTATACAGCACTGAGAACCAAAATCACCTCCAGCAAGAAGAATAGAAATATTCAGTAATTCTGGCTTCTGGTCACTGCAGCATGTGGCACTAATGCCAGCCAGTAAAACAGCAATGAATAAACGAAGGACTTTATGGTGAAAATCCAACTAACATTATTCCAGTGTAATCTGCTGTTGGAGATCTTCTGCCCCTTTTCTGAGGGGCTTCTTGTGCTCCAGCACTGCTCTTATAGCAGTGTGCTGATAGTGCCTCCTTGTGGAGAATCCTTAGTCTAAACATGAGTGACTGAAAGTCCTCTCAAAACCAAAAGATTCACTCCCTCTGCACCGCCCCCCCACCCCCCCGAAGTTCTATAATTTAATATAAGGCATAAATTACTATTATCCAATGACAAAATTTGATCAACTGACTTCAGAAATGTCCCGGAGAATAAATCCCTGCCGTCCGCATGGAATTTCTGAATTAGTCAGCACATATACATTTAGTGAGGAAGGCCCTGTTATTGGATCTGAGGATGAATTAAGACGCCATCTTACCCTCCAGACATCTCCCCCCACGTTTGCCTACCTAGTAAAGCGGCCACTGAGATCGTCTCCTTGGCAATTCAAAGAAATTATTACTGCTATCACAACAGCAAACGTGAGCAAGATAAGATCAAATTAATTCTACATCAGCTAGTTTATTCATCTGCAACACCACGGACTCACATTCAGGAACACTCCGTAATAAATGAAGCCTCGGCAGAAAGGAAAGGCGGCGCACTGCTCCATCGTTAAACAGGGAACCTGGAGGAACACAGGGAGTTATGACATATAATATCTTAGACTGACTGTTAAGCCATAAAAGCTCATTTTTAAAATTCCTCTGACCTGCCAATCGTGTAGCTCCGTTTAAATAAACAAATTAATTAATGAATTAATGAATGCACATGGTCATTTCCCCACTCATCACCATATATTCAAACCCTGCCTCCCCCCCCCCGCAATGTTGCTACAACGTTGTCAAAAGGTGGCGCTGTTTACATTCTCAATGTTGTCACAACTTCATTATTAAGTAACATTATTATAGTAACATTGCTATACACTGTTAAAAATGATGGTTCTTCAAGGGTTCTTCAGTAAAGAAAATGGTTTTATAAGTAATCATTAACACTCGAAGAACCTCTGCATGGTTAAAGTGTTCTTTGCATCATTAAACAGTTCTTCAAATTGATGGAGAACGTGCTGTAGAGGGCCTCTTTGAAAAAGGTTCTATTCATGCACCCAAAAGGATTCTTTTACTGTTATGATGTCAATCTTCTTACAATAGAGAAACCTTTTTGGTGCTGCATAGAACCCTTACAAAAATGTCCTATATACAACCATCTACAGCACATTCTCTGTCAATCTGAAGAACCCTTTTATGAGGCAAAGAACCCTTTAATCATTTACTGAAGAACGCTTTAACAGTAAGGCACACCCAAACCTCCCGGTATCGTTCTGGGTAACGCTGTATCTGCGGGACGTGCACTCGCTTTTTCAGCCTGATATGATCTGCTCATTACGGTTATGAGTTTAGACTTCATTAATATTTATGAATACAGTACTGCGGAAAGTCATGTTTAACGATCTGTCAAATGCGCACCTGGTTGGCAGGTCTGATTTCTGTGTAATTTGCTGAGGCAAAGCTGCCTTAAGTTATATTGGTAGAGTGACACCATGTCCCAGAGCAAACCCCCCAAATTCCCCTCTTTCATTAAATTTCTGACCAACACGTCTCTCGCACTCTAAAGTCTTCCAAAAATTAAAGCTTAATATGCCGCCATGTGCCGGAATGACTGACCATGAACTCAACCTCATCTTAATTTTAAAACCGAACTAATTTCTTGCAATAAGATGTGTTTTTTATTTGGACCTACCTGTGAAAACACGGAATATGAAAACCTTAACCTGTCCTTGGTTGGCAGTAACAGAGTGCATCTCTTGAAGAGTAATCCTGTGGGAAAGAGCATCAAAAACACCACACTAACAGTGACGGCTCATTCATTTAGCACTGGAACGTCTACAGTCTCCAACACGGCTTTAGCTGAAGGCTTTAAACAGGATCTCCAATCATACCCAGGTGTCTGAAATGGTCGAGCACAGAGCCCTCGGCTTCGGGTGACGTGCAGTGAAACCACTGCAAGATCATCTGGTTCCTCCAGGCAAAAGTGGACACGTGCCTCATTATGCAGCCGGAGATGGTTTTTGATACCATGCTAAAAACACTGGCATCGACGGCTGAAACACAAACACACGAGGCTTCAATGTTTCAGTGCACAGACAGCTTCCCTGCTTATTTACCTCGTTAGTTTCCGTCCCTGGTCATACGCACCATCATATCCTCTCACTCAAATGAGGTAAACTTCCACTTCAGTATAAAGACTTTTGCCTCCTCTAAAACATATTGATTTTTGATTACATCATCATGCACCAAACATAGTATTATCCAATAATACCATGTTTCACTCCCTCCTTCCTCTACCCCACCCCACTGCGCTGCTTTCCAATTCACACTGACTTTGATTCAACAGAAAAGTGGCTTCTTCTATCATTATATACACCGGTCAGGCACAACATTCTGACCACCTCCTTGTTTCTACGCTCATTGTCCATTTTATCAGCTCCACTTACTATATAGGTGCACTTTGTAGTTCTACAGTTACAGACTGTAGTCCATCTGTTTCTCTGATACTTTGTTAGCCCCCTTTTACCCTGTTCTTCAGTGGTCAGGACCCCCATGGACCCTCACAGAGCAGGTACTATTAGGGGGGTGGGTCATTCTCAGCACTGCAGTGACACTGACGTGGTGGTGGTGCGTTAGTGTGTGTTGCGCTGGTCTGAGTGGATCAGACACAGCAGACCTGGAGTTCCAAATATGGGTATAAGGCGGACTACAGAATGACACACCAGCGAACACACAACACTGTCACGAGTAACACTGCCACACACTCTTAAAAATGATGGTTCTTCAAGGGTTCTTTAGCCAAGAAAATGGTTTTATATAGAACCATGGACACTCAAAGAACCCCCTCCATGATTAAAGGGTTCCTTGCATTATTAAATAGTTCTTCTTCAAACTGAGGCAGAGGTGGAGAACGTGCTGTAGACGGTTCTATATAAAACCTTTTTGAATATCTTTCTATTCAACACCCAAAAAACGACTCTTCTACTGTTACGATGTCAATCTTGTAACAACAAAAGAACCCTTTTTGGTGCTATATAGAACCCTTTCTACATAGAACCATCTACAGCACATTCTCTGTCAATGTGAAGAATCTTTTCATGATATAAAGAACCCTTTGATCATTTACTGAAAAACCCTTAAACTTTTTAAGGCTGTGCTTTTGACATGCCGTTTAATCATGCAAAGGGTTCTTTGAGTGTTCATGGTTCTATGTGGAACCATTTTCCTTACTAAAGAACCCCTGAAGAACCATCCTTTTAAGTGTGTACAGTGTTATGACTATCTACTGGCAACTCATCAAAACTCCATTGAGTTCCACGCACAACCTAATGGAGCTGTAATGGACTCTGGGAGGTCGTGACTGTGTACTGACAATGTTGTCCCTATGTTGTCAGAACATTCTGAAAAACTACTTCCAACACTGTGACAACGCTGTGGACACCAACAGTGGGCTGTCACAGCGTACCTGCGTCTGCTGGGCATGGGGACGTCACTGTGTAATCAGAGGTAAATGACTGCATGTACAGCTACATCCTACGCCTACACTGCGTTTACATGCACTCAATAATCCGATAACTGCAGAGAATCAGAGTCTGTCAGTAATCCAATCAACACGTTTACACGCTCGAGTAATCAGATGATGTGAAAACTCCGGGTCTACATGAGTCAGACAGTAATCAGATTCCTGTAAACTCACAGAAGAAGACGCGACGTAAATGTAAAACTCAGACTTCATAAGCAGCTGTTTTTAAACGACGCGCCGCTTTAGCCGAAATATGAACCTCATCATCGAGAAGATGAAGAAAATTTAAACCCTTTATTTCCTGTTTGGTTTCAGCGCCGCTCCAACAGTGATTTGCTGCGTCTCGCGACGTCCACCGTCTGATCTCGCGCAGACTGAGAATTACGATAGAAATCAGAAGAAGAGTTTACAGCACTGAGAAATCTGATTACTGAGCTAACATCCAGCCTCTTTATCAGATTTCTTAATCGGATTTGTAGATCAGAGAATGGTGTTTGCATGACCATCTGAATAATTGGATAACTGCAGAAATCCGATTATGATTGGATTACTGAGTGCGTGTATGCGCTCTCAATTGTAGGTACAGTAGAACAACCTAGCGCTTCACTCACCTGACAGGAAGTCCAAAATGAAGTCGAACACCTCAGCGGGCAGTTTCTCAAAGAACCCCTGAGGAGAACCGCGCTGGGTTCTGGTCTGAACGGTTCTGAGAGAATATGGCCGCCTCCGAGATCGGACACGGCGGGAGGGCTGAGTGGAGGTGAATCTGCTCGACTGCGAGGCCATTTTATAGTCCCGCGCCTTCCCTCCTGCGGCTACCGGGCAACCCGCCCCATCTGCGGGGTCCTGGGAGAGGCTGGCGTAGCCTGGCTAGCTCCGCTGCGCTCAGCAGGAGCGCTGGCCGCGGACTCTGACCGCCGAGCGGCGTTAATGTCGGATATGGACTCGGACTGAGGAGCTGACCGAAGGATTTTAACCGTCCAGTCCGCAGTGAGGCCGGAGCCGCTCTCTGTGCTGACAGGCCTGACCGGGCGGACTGACCTCAGCAGCTCCCGCCACTCTGACTGACCGCCGCGGATCCAGGAGTGAAGCTCAGTGAAGCTCTTATATAATAATCAGTACTGATCGTGTTAAACGGCTGCTAATCGGACTCGAGGCCACATTGTTTGTTTTGTCCAGTTTTCTCTCTGTGGCCCAGAAAACGTTTGCTAACTCGACAGCGCGAGGAGGCGCTCGAGCTCATTCACTCACAGACCGCGAGCTGTAACGCTCCCGAATGATCCGGTTCTTCTGAACGACTCTTTGGTAAAAACGAAGGGATCCGAATCGAATCTGAGAGCCGTTCTGTTCACTTCACTACCTGTGCTGAATCCGCTCCGTCCCCGCTGAGCGGACAGACCCAGCCGGGCACGGAGCCGCGTTATTCCCGCTCCTTAAAGGCGGAGTGAGCGGGACTTACAGCTGTTTAGAGAGGGAGAGAGGGAGAGAGACCCCAACCCGCCCCCGCACCCCATTATATCATAAACGAGACTGCTGAACAGCAGGTGGCGCCCGCGAGCGAGTCCTCTATGAATGGGGGGAATGGAGCTTAAAGGCTAAAAACGAAAAGTTAAAATAGTTTCTAATCACTCAGAACTTTCCTTTAATTTTAGACAGTAGAAGGATGAATTTCACTAAAACAGCAAAGAAAACTCACCTGTATGTTTCCTTTTTCTACAGCAAAGAGGTTCTGGTTGGAGCTGATTGGTTGGCATTACTGCTACTGAGTGCTGATTGGTATTACTAATTAATAAGTTTATTTCAGTTTATCAGGTGTTTACACCCATAACAATAAAAGACAAAACAATAATAAAGACATAATAATCAATACAAAAACAAGCACTGACCGAAAAGGTGTAATCTGAAGCTATAGCTTATTTTGACCACCCTTTATAAATCATTTACAATTACTGACACTGAGTGCTGATTGGTTGGCGAGCGAAGCAGCTCATTGGCTGTTCGCGCTCACAGGTGTCATGGACGTACATGAGACACCGTTTTATATATATTGTTATAACTCGAGTTTAAAAGCTCTTAAAAATATAACAGCAGTGTTAAAATGTTTTATGCTGTTCAGTGTTCAGGAAATAAATTATTCTTTTACATTAAAAATGTTTATAAACTATGATTTTTCTCAAATGGAATTACCACTCTGTAAAGTCTTCAGGGTTTCTCAAACGCTAGAGGGCGCTCCTGAGCGAGTCCCAAATGAATGGGTGAATATGGAGCATTTGAGCACAGGACTGTGGGGGTCCTGTGGGGGTCCTGACCACTGAAGAACAGGGTAACAGTAGAGAAACAGAGAAACAGATGGACTACAGTCTGTAACTGTAGAACTACAGAGTGGAACTATACGGTCAGTGCAGCTGAAAAGAGTGGACAATGACTGTAGAAACAAGGAGGTGGACTCAATGAAGTGGCCGGTTGGTGTGTAAATGAGATAATTCACAATTGCTAGTCACAATAAGGGGCTCCTCAAATGGTTGAAATGTTACATACAGTGGACACAACACTCAGACAGTTTCATCACTAATAACATAAAAATGTTGTTTATGTCAAAAACAACATCTGAAGCTAGAAAACAGAAAATCAACAAAACACTTGCAAACAGATAGTAGAAGCACTAACTGTGAAAAAGTCTGATTAAAGCTTTTTAATTATGAGTACAAATGATGTCCCGGGTTTCAGTGCTCCTGCTAAGTGAGGCAGGTTGTTTTAAACCCAGAAGCACATTAATCACGTCTGTGGACCCGTTGGTGCAGCACTGTTTGGCAGTGGGAATAGCTGTGCGCTGATAGGCCTGTGTGTCCAGGCCTGGGCAGCAGGGCCCTTTGTTTCAGCTGTTGCCGTGTTGGCGTAGTTCATCCTTCTGGCTGTGACAGCTCAGGAAATGCCTGTGAGTGATGTGCTAACGAAGCGCAGCGTCCGACAGTACAATAACCTGTTCATCTGCAACGCCAGGCAGAAAGCGCTCTGCTCTGCACTGCCGCAGCCGGAGAGGCGAGCGCTCTGTGGAGTGACCCCAGCTGTGTTCGTCAGTGGGCGAAGCTGCACTGCGGGTAAGACGCTGTGTTTCTTTAATTTGAACACATTTAGTTTGATCTTTAATTCTAATTTAGATCTTGTTTTGATTCAGATATTCTTTGTTGAGTCACTGAGGAAATGTCCAGTTTGCGATGCGTTACAGGAAACATTAGAGCTATTTCTAACCCACACTCTGCTCCATGTCTCAAACACAAGCCTTTCTGTTTGCCCTCTGCTATGCTCTCCTCTTCACAGCTGGACACAATAGGATATTTGTGTTCTGTCCTTCACTGCGAGGCTTGTATCGAGCCTTTCACAGTGTGAGGCTTCAGCACATACGCCCAAAGCGAGCCTGCAGCCTGAACATATGGGAGAACAACTTGCGAGGGCTCAGTAATGTCCTGCTTGTCTGGGAATTAGACCTCAGTAAAAGAATCATCTGCAGGCATGACCTAATGCAGGCATGTCAAACTGGGGACCTTCTGGGCCAAAATGCTGCAGAGATCAGCGTTTACCCTCATCTAACGCTCTGAATTCAGTTCATAAAGGCCTAGTTAGCTGATGAGCTGAATCAGGTGTGTTTAATGAGGCAGTGAGCTGAAGTCTGCAGTGTTTTGGCCCATGAGGACTGGAGTCTGACACACGTGACCTATTAGAAAGTAAGGGTGAGCATTACGACAAAAATAGAACATCACGATTCCTGAAGGTGTGAAATGTATCACAATATTTTTCTGCTGAGATTTGCAAATAAATTGGAATGGATGTAACGCCCCAGAAAAACAGGAGTGAATTTTAGAAGAAATGCACAAATGAAATATGCACCACTACTAATTTGTGCTGCAAGAAAACCAACGGATTGATAAAACATCTGTTATCATTTATTCACATTTTCATAGCCAGTTCACCTCTTCAAGTCCTTCTATGTGTGTTTAACCCCTTAAAATCTCAGGCTGATTACATAAAGCTAATTATTCAGTAACTACAGGGACTTCAATGCAAACTGGCTGAGCTGTTCTTAGACCTGATCCCATTTCACCCCTCGCCCCGACCACTCCCTCCGTTTAGTGCGTTCTCGTCTAGGGGTAGGGTGTCCCGATTCTTGTTGAGATGGGGGGGAGGGTGAAGTGTTGGGGCTACATGACCCTCCAAACGGAGGTTTTTCAGAGACTCCAAACAGAGAGATATGAGAAAATAAGAAAAACAGGAAAAGATGGAGAACAAGAGACCAAAGAAACCCACAGATGTGAGAATTTTCTCTGTTAAATTACAATAACCATCATATCCTCTTAGTTTAATGTTGTTTCAGTGTATTTTGGTCCTTTTCTTCATAACAAGCATAAAAAAATCTCTAGCAGTGCTGACGTCTCAGTAACTAAATTTCCTGTTCCACCTTAAATGGTGCAGCAGTTCCATTCTGGCTCCTCCGGCATCAGAACTGCTGCTCCATTTAAGGTGGAACAGTAAAATCCGAACAAGAATCTGGAAAAATATCTGACTTCAGCTTCATATCACTGAAGAATTAGGGGTGGGCGATAATAAATAATTGCCCCCCTCTTTGAAGATCATATGATGCCCTAAATGTAACTAAAGCCCAGCAGTGAGGAGCTGAACTTTACCCTCCTCTGCTGTCACTGCAGACTGGCAGGGTCTCCTACAGAGCAGCGCTGGTAGCTGTTAATGAAGTGATGCTCTTTTTATTTGAGGGTCCCATTTCAGAGGGAGGATTTCAAACACTACCCTGGAACTCAGTTACAAGGGGTTAGGGTGACCCTCGAAAACAAGGGGGTCAAAATAAGAGATAGATCTGAGCCTCAGTTTATAGAAGTGTGTAATAAAACGTCCTGTAAAGAGTTAACTATTCTGCCTCTTTTCTTTCTGCCTCACAGGGTTTGTGTTGCTACAACTGTTGAAACTCACAAGAGGACGCAAACAGGTGAAGCTTATCATATCAGTCATGCTAACATGCAGGCAGTGACAGACGAGCCTGACTGACAAGGAACTCAGGAGGGGATTCCGTTTGAAGCTGAGCACAAATTGAAGTGGCACTTTTCTCAGTTAAAGTCTAAAACCCTGTACATGGCCGCAGCAGGCATGGCCACTCAGATCTTAGGATACTTCTTGGGTCTTCTGGGGTTGGTGGGGACGCTGGTGGCCACAGCGCTGCCTCACTGGCGCCATACGGCCTACTTCACCTCCAATCTCATCACGGCCACGTCCTACATGAAGGGCCTGTGGATGGAGTGCGTGACCCACACCACCGGCATCTACCAGTGCGAGGTCCATCGGTCAATGCTCTCTCTGCCCCAGGATCTGCAGGTGGCCCGGGCCCTCATGGTGCTTTCCGCCACGATCTCCACCATTGCCACCGTCATCTCTGCCACCGGGATGAAGTGCACCCGTTGCCTCCATGAGTCCCGTGCCAAGGGTGCTCTTGCCGTGTTGGGAGGGGTGTGTTTCGTCTCTGCCGGCCTTTTCTGCCTCATCGCTGTGGCCTGGACCACCAATGATATAATTATCGATGCCTACGACCCGTTCTCCGCCAGTGGGATGAAGTATGAGGTGGGCCTGTGTTTGTACATCGGTTTCGCCTCTGCTATTTTCAGCGTTTTCGGTGGTGGGATGCTCTGTGCAGCTTGTTGTGACACGATAAATGGTTCCCCCCAAAAGCCGCCAGCCCATGTCACCCCGCAGCCCCCGCCCCCGGCCTATCAGGCACACGAAGCCCACATCATCAACAGCCATTCATCATCTCAAGCTGCTCCGTCTAGCAGTGGCTACATGGTCAGCGACTCCATTTGAGGGGAACGTCAGTGCAGGCGGACGGACTGTGAAGGACGAGCTGAGGCACTTCTGTCTGCTTCTCACTTTGAGACGTCTTTGCTTTGAGTGTCTGATCCTAATTCTGAGTCTCAGTGTTAAAGGCTTTACTCTGATTGTGAAATCAGGCCACTGTTTATGTGCCAATGACAGCTCTGGAGAGCATCTCACTGCCAACACCTAATCACAGCATTAAAACATGACCGAAACCATGCGTCCTGCCTGTGGTCAGTTCTTTTGTGTACATATGCAAAGTAGATATATTTACACATTTTTAATAAGCATGCATATCATTTATATATTTAGATACTTTACACATTTGAAAAGACTTTAATCTGCATTTGACATATTAAAGATATGAATTTAGACAAATTTGTATGTACAAATATATGTCAGTATATTAGCTTAGCATAGCGTAAATCACTGCTTCATTCTTTTCCCATTCTAATTTCATTCTTATAGAAAGACACTGTGAGAAACATGTTTTAGATAATATCACTCTTAAATATGTGTGAAGACAGTCAGCTCCGTAACTATAGACACATTTGGCAAAGATATTCAGAGACAAACTATAAGTTGGCTTGTCAAACTGATGTAGCCTGATGGCTGCAGAGTGTTAAAGCTGTAGTACCTTAACTAATCCACCATTACTTTAAATCCACTGTTACTTTAAATCCACTGGTACCTTAAATCTACTAATACCTTAAATGCATTGGTACCTTAAATCTCCTGAAACATTATATACACTGATACATCTGTATTACATATTACATAGATTCATACGGATATAGGGTCTATCTATCTATCTATCTATCTATCTATCTATCTATCTATCTATCTGTCTGTCTGTCTGTCTGTCTGTCTTTTTGTCTGTCTGTCTGTCTAGCTCTCTGTCTATCTATCTATCTTTCTGTCTGTCTGTCTGTCTAGCTCTCTGTCTGCCTGTCTATCTGCCTAGCTCTCTGTCTGTCTGTCTCTCTGTGTATTTATCTATTTATCTGTCTGTCTGTCTGTCTCTCTGTCTGTCTGCCTATCTATCTATCTATCTATCTATCTATCTAGCTCTCTGTCTGCCTGTCTGTCTGTCTGTCTCTCTGTCTGTCTGCCTATCTATCTATCTATCTATCTATCTATCTATCTATCTATCTATCTAGCTCTCTGTCTGCCTGTCTGTCTGTCTGTCTCTCTGTCTGTCTGTCTATCTATCTATCTGTCTTTAAAAACAAACAGTGTTTTCTTATGAGACAGGTTCTCTGCTTTGTACTAAATCTGAATTATTATTTTTGTTTACTTGGAAACAAACCATATTTTGTGTCCAGTCTGCTGGACTTTTGGACTTTTTTTTGGACTTTTTCATTTTGAAAAATGAACATATTTATCAACACACAGTACTGATGCTTTCCTGTGTTTACTGGATGCACAGTTACATAAAAAGGTTTCTGAACTCTTGGAACCACCTGGACGATTTTGGATAATTATGAATAATTTTCATAATAGTTTTATTTCTTAATGATAAACAAAGAGCTTTTTAACACATAGCAATGCATTAATTTACATTACTGTCTCTGAAAATAAATAAATAGTGGAACTGATCGAGGTTATTAAAGTCAGAAAACATTACATAATCTGTATTACACGTTACACAGATTTATATGTAATATTACACATTGCATATATTTTATACTTTTAACAAAATCAGCTAAAATCCTGAACGAATGAGTTTATTAAACTAATCAAAGCATCATTTACTGTCACTGAGTCCAAACGTCCAGATTACTGGACATTAAACTTTAGATGTGTGTGTAGAAATAAATATCTACTGTTTCCTTTATTACCCTTAAATAGAGGAACCTTCCAGAAGGACAAACACTCAGAGACGTTTCTGTAATAAACACAGGATCATTTAGAAACAGTGTTTGATCTGGTGAGTGTCCGTCTCTCCAGCTGCCGCGTTTATTTTTGTTTATGATGAAAGTGAAGATCTCAGTAACTGACCGACAGAAGGACTGAGGTGTGTAGAAACACAGACGCACCTGCTTCTGCAGAGCTACAGTAGCTGGAGACATAATGTCCACTAAACTGGACATTCGGGATGAGGCGGGAATGAGAGCTGAGATCACCACAAGGTGGCGCCAAGAGCCCAAACTAGGAAAGAGTCTCTCAGCCTTGGAGAGACAGAAACACACGCTGGGAGTTTCAGAGAAACAGAACTGACTGGACTTAGTTTAGTAGAAATGACTTCAGGACCGCGGACAGCGCCCACCCGCTGGAGACCCTCAGACGAGGGACCGAAGCTGAAAGCTCACGCTGTCGCTCAATAACTCCCAGGGTGCTTTGCGCTGAACGCTTTAGGAGGCGCAGTACACAGCGCGAGGACAGACACACATACATTAACCTGTAGAAGTGAGAAACTGGTCTAAACTGGTCTAAGCTGGTCTAAACTGGTCTAAGCTGGTCTAAACTGGTCTAGGCTGGTCTAAGATGGTTTAAACTGGTCTAAGATGGTCTATGCTGGTCTGATCTCTTTTACAACCTACTGTGACACCAGCGATTGCTTGAAGCCTTAAAGGGGAACTCCACCGATTTTTAAAAACATTCTACCTAATTAACTGGTTAAAATGTAATCAGAACGGTTCAGAGCGGTTCAGAGTGGTTTGGTGTGAAACGCTCTGTTCTAGATAAACTTACCGAGTCAGAACTGTTCACAGTGGTGGTGATAGGAACCAGACGTCCACCTCTAAAAGCTCCCTCACAGAAAGTTCCTACATGAAATGGTTATGAATTCACTGCCTGATGACTGAGACACTGTTTTATGATAGTTTAGAGAACTTAAACTCCATTCATGGTGGAGGGATACATGCAGGGCGCTGTGAGGCAAAATAGTCCCCAAAGAAAACTTATTATTTCAGATTTTCCACTATTTTCCATCATCAACATTCCATATAAACTCAGAAGACTCGTGTAGGTTCACTGGTGGTTCTGGATAGTAAATAAAATGTCTATATTTGTGTTGTAGTCATGGCGACCCCTGGTTCCTATCACCACCACTGTAAAGACATCTGAACCATTTCACACCAAACCTCTCTGAATCTCTCTGATTACACCTCACACACTGAATTATGGGGGAAATTTGAGATATTGGTGGAATTCCCCTTTAAGTCGGATGTTGATGGACCTGAGTGGACATCACTGGACATCACTGCTGGTCTGAAACAGGTCTGGCTCTGTAAGTCCGTCCCAGTGAACTCAGCTTAGTTTCAAACTCTAACTCTTATAAAGATGGACGTTTAACTGGTGACCTGTATAAAAACCAGTGGAGACCCAGTGACGCCCACCGTCTTCTGACGAAACCAGTCCTCACAAACTGGTCCGCTTGCGTTGTTTTTAACCCACCCGTATTCCGACAAGCCCCACCTCGAACGCTGTAACTGACCAGCAGCAGCGCTGGGAGTGACGCATCGTCCTGCCTCCTGCGCTCGGATTGGCTAGAAGTGCAATCAGAGTTTAAACTACTGGCCTATCACAGCGCAGGGGCGGGGCTTGCGTGGGACTCCCCAATGCGGGTGGTGTGAGAGACTCCGTTCTGGATATCTGCGTCTTCCAGCGCCACACAGGAACGCTGCCAACTTTAAAGCCTCAGCTTCACTGAGCTCATCATCTCGGGATAAATTCAAGGATCCTTTACAAAGGTGTGAGTTTTAATTTATTTATACAGGATAAAATCTAGGAAGTCTCTCTTACTGATGTACTTCTTTAACTCGTGTCCAAGCCTGAAGGATAAGATCAGGAATTCGCCTGGCTGGATTTCTCCTGCTTACCGTCCCAGCATGAAGTCGATGTTTGGTGGGAAGGTAGCGCTGCCGTTACTCTGCGGAAAAACCCCTTAGAAACCTTTAATAGTGCCTGTTTGTCTTTTTAATGGGTGGATTTCACAGTGTAAAGGATTTAACAGGTGACCAGTGGCCGATTCTAAATGCATTTGTTGGTTTCCTAATCGGACCTAAAGGTGTTCTACATGAAACTAGTGGTGACTGTTGGAAACCATGAAGCCAATTCCCATTAGAAAGCAAAACGCATTAGGTTTTAATCCTAAGGGTTTCTAATGGTCCAACAAATCTTTACTTGGTGCAGAGATGACGCGTTTGTGGCTGACCAGTGAATTAGAGCAGTTGGTTGTGTGTTCCCTCTGTTTATTAGTGTTAAAACACCGTCCAGAGATTTCAACATCTTGAAAAAATCCTCTAATCGGTTTTGATTTTGATGTCAGTGTAAAATCATTTCAGGTTTTTTCCTCTTCTTCTGAAACATCATGAGCTGAGCCAACAGCCGGTGTTCCTCAGCGTCCAGCCACTGAAACTCACCGCCTCCAGCTGTCCACTCCGATCCCGACTCTGGGAAGATGGCCCTGCACCTGGAAGGGCTGCTGGCGATTGTCATCTTTTACGTGCTGATCCTCTTCGTTGGGATTTGGGCCGCATGGAAAAACAAAAACTCCGGGGTGGAAGGAGGGTCAGATCAGAGTGAATCCATCATGGTGGGTGGACGGGACATCGGACTGTTTGTTGGAGGGTTCACGATGACCGGTGAGTTTTCTCCATCAGCTTTGTAGGGATGCAGGCCTGTTTAGATAGGCAGTACAGAGGATTACACTCAGGGTGGGAAATGCTGGGGGTCCTGGGAGTCCTAATTAACCTCTCGGACCCCTTAAATGTCTCAAAATCAAAATTCCTGAAAATAAACTTATTATGACATTGAGCTGTTAGAAAAATGCCCTGCAATGGACTGGCGACCTGTCCAGGGTGTATCCTGCCCTCCGCCCAATGATAGTTGGGAAAGGCTCCAGCACCCCACCGCGACCCAGAAGGATAAGCGGTTTTAGATGATGTGTGTTAGAAAATCAGACACTTAAATCCAGACTCAGTGAAGCTCATTGTTTATCTGCTTCCCCCACAATCAGCTTCTGTCTCTGGTGATCTTAACTAACTAGAGCTGCAGCCCTGTTCTGCCTCAGGGTGGCGCTGTAGCAGACTGGTTCACCCAGTCGGTCCTTCATAGTCTAGAAACTGTAACTCTGCCCGGATTCCTCTGAAAAACTTTCCAATGAGCTGCAGCAGATCTGTAAATCTGAAAACTCGCCCAGTTTCCCAGAGTTTGGAGTGAAGAGTGACTGTTCCTCATTTCTCACACTGAAGACAGAAGAGGAGACGAGGAAGATCTCAGTTACTGTGAGGAAGAGCGCAGAACCGCACTAGAACAGAGACTCTACAGAAGAGGAGACGAGGAAGATCTCAGTTACTGTGAGGAAGAGCGCAGAACCGCACTAGAACAGAGACTCTACAGAAGAGGAGACGAGGAAGATCTCAGTTACTGTGAGGAAGAGCGCAGAACCGCACTAGAACAGAGACTCTACAGAAGAGGAGACGAGGAAGATCTCCGTTACTGTGAGGAAGAGCGCAGAACCGCACTAGAACAGAGACTCTACAGAAGAGGAGACGAGGAAGATCTCAGTTACTGTGAGGAAGAGCGCAGAACCGCACTAGAACAGAGACTCTACAGAAGAACAGCTGATAAACAAACATTTACTGACACTGAAGCATCAGCGCCGCTATGGAGAGAGAGTTAGCAGACAGACAACACAGGACCCCCGAATACCAGGGGGGGTTTCACACTGAGGCTCATTATGCAGAAACCACAGGGACTCCAGTGCAAACTGAGTGGGCTGTTCTTAGATTACACACACTCAAAAATGGTTCTTCAAGGGTTCTTTAGTAAGAAAATGGTTCTATATAGAACCATGAACACTCAAAAAACCCTTTGCATAATTAAAGGGTTCTTTGCATCATTAAATGGTTCCTCAGATTAATAGAGAATGTGCTTTATATGGTTCTGTATAGCAGTAAAAAAGGTTCTATTGTGTCAATGTCAAGCCTGTAAACAATAGAAGAACCCTTTTGGTGCTATATAGAATTTCAAAAAGGTTCTATATAGAACCATATAAAACACATTCCTGTGAACCCTGTGAGCATGCAAAGGGTTCTTTAATTGCTCATGTTTCTTCAAGGGTTCTTTAGGAAAGAAAATGGTTCTACAGAGAACTATGATTAATCAAAGAACCATGGTGAACGTGTTCTTCAGACTGATAGAGAATGTGTTTTGTATGGTTCTATCTAGCACCAAAAAGCATTCTTCTATTGTTACGATGTCAAGCCTGTAACAATAGAAGAACCATATTTGGTTCTATAAAGAACGCTTTTCAAAAAGATTCTATATAGAACCATGAAAAACACAGTCTCCATCAATCTGAAGAACGCTTTAACAAGCAAAGGGTTCTTTGGGTGTTCAGGGTTCTCTACAGTACCGTTTTCTATACTAAAGAACCCTTGAAGAACCATCTATTTTAGGAGTGTGTAATAAACAGTGGAACCTGGCCATTTATAGAGTTATTAGTGTAGAACCTTTACATTATGGAACAAGTAACAAACTTTAAAGAGGGTTCTCCACCCTCACACATCTCATTTACAAACATTGTTCTTAAAAGAAATCAACCATTGAAAGGTTCTTAAGGTAACTGACGGTTCTAAAGGTAACTAAAAGTGTTCCTGTGGTCTCGCTCCAAAGAACCTTGTTCAGTGTTTTGTCTGGGTTCACTGCACAACTGAGCTGAAGTCTACAAACTACTTTCACTAAAGTACTAAACTACACTAAATATAATCCAGAAATGCCTAAAACAACTTCTCTAATATTAATTAAGTTCATTTAGTTAATAAAACATTTATAATGGCTCTAATATCACTAAGAAATAAATTCATGCATATTTTGTTTTTAGGGTCTCGATATTTCCTGTATTAGTTTAAGACATTATGCATTATCTCACACTCCACTGAGGAGAGAACTGCTCTCCACTCTGACTCGTTTCAGTCATATTATAGGCTGCACTCTTAAAAAGAAGGTTCTTCCTGGGTTCTCTAGTAAAGAAAATGGTTCTGTATAGAACCCTGAGCACCCAAAGATCCCTTTGCATGATTAAATGGGTCTCTGCATGGTGAAATGGTTCTTCAGATTGATGGAGAATGTACTGTAGATGGTTCTATATAGAACCTTTTTGAAAATGGTTCTATATAGCACCAAAAGGGTTCTTCTATTACATGCCTGACATCATAACAATAGCAGAACCCTTTTGGTGCTATATAGAAGCATATCTGTTCATGGTTCTATATAGAACCATTTTCTTCACTAAAGAACCCTTGGAGAACCGGAGAAGACAGTGAAACAGAGAAACGGTGTTTGTGCTCCAGCAGTTTTACAGACTGAGCTGATTGTGAACCGTGTTTTATTGACGCTTTAAAAGCAGCTCATTTGCATGATTAATTAAATCATATTTCAGAATGAAAGGCCTTTGATGCTATTCAGAGGCGAGGAGACCCCGAGGCAGCACCGTTTTCTTTGAGAAAGTCTTGAATGATTCATTTTTGGGGCAGTGAAAAAAATATCAATGCTAATGAAAACAGTGGCTGATGGGATCACAGTGGATAAATGGGTTTAATGTGGACGTAATTACAGTATCATTAGGGTTATTTCCCCGTTCTGATTACAGTGCTATCCTGTCTGCTTCACTCTCTACAGCACAGTAAACACGTATTTACCCCCCTCCTGATTTACTGTCACATCAGACACGCGTGATATTAGACAAAGGTTATTTAATTACTTCAAGTCAAGTCAAGAGGCCTTTATTGTCATTCCATCTATGTACATGTACACAAGAGTATAATACTGCGATACTTCCAGACATTTTCGCGATACACGATATGTCACAATATTTATTTTTTCAGGCATCTGATCAGCTGGAACAGAGAAAAAAGAGCCAGCAGTGCTACATTTAAAAAGCACTATCAAAACTGAGAACACAGTGATTTTTATAGATTATTTGGCACTAAATCCAGTTAAACTGAACTAATTTTGTAATGAAACATGTACTGACGATACACACAATATGATCAGAAAAGCATATTGTAGTGTATTGTGACGTAATTCATCACGGTAACGATATATGGAGTCATATCGCCCCGCCCTACCATCAGTTCTTCTAGATCACTGAACAACATCATGTGTCATAAACAATGTTTGAGACTAATTATTGAGAGCCCGAAAGCAACAACAACCAATGTTTATTTATTTATTTATTTATTACTAATTGTTTGATTTTTCCTCCTGTTCCCTTATAAATGTCTATTTTTGCAGATGTTGAGTAAAAACCCATTATGCTCACAGTTTTACAGCCTTGTTTAAGTGTGCCAGTCCCGTGTTGCTGGTGCTGCTTATGCATTTTATTCATTTGTTGTTATTGTTTTCAAACATAAGAGAAACTAAATACCGTAATAAATACTGTGTCATTTTCATGATACATAATAAGGATCACAATATTTAGTTTTTCTGAAAAATTGGAACTTTTAAAAATGCTGCCAAACTACAAATACATGTGCTACGTTTCACACACTGCACAAACCCAGTTAAACAGGCCTCATTCCACCCTCTCCGTAGTCAGACAGGCAGGTGTTCGTGCTCCGCAACCGATAACTACAGACATCACTTCACTTTGAGCTCTGTGATGTTATACTTTCTGCCTTTTCACTCTTAATAAAAATGATGAGCTGCTGTGTGTTTTTCTGGCTCTTTTCAGCCACCTGGGTCGGGGGAGGATACATTAACGGAACAGCGGAGTACGTGTATCTGCCCAGTCACGGTTTGGCCTGGGCTCAGGCCCCGTTTGGCTACGCACTCAGCTTGGTAGTAGGTAAGAGTTAAGATACACTACATACACAGTCTTTCATTCATTCATTCATTCATTTATTTATATGTTTCATATCTTGAATGTACATTCAAACATTTCACATTGAAAGAGCACAAATAGAAAGAAAAGAGAAATACATGCATTGAGGATAACAGAATAACAATAATAATGATGAAAATGGTAAAGAATAATAATAAATGTTTAAATAGAGTAGAACAGTAAATTAACGAGGGCTGTGGATCCATAAATGTCATCATGTCAGAGTTTGTACCAGTACAGTCTCTCAGCAGACCTGCTGCACATGACTTTCCATTCGTTCTCTAAATGAGGACCATCTTTCATAAAATCCATCTGTATCCTCAAAGGAATGTCATTTTTCCATAAATCTCCCTACTTATCGACCACCGTTCCTGTCTGGTTGGGGGTTCTTTTTCTAAACCAGATCTTTGTGTTACGGTCAGGATCTGCGGCAGATTCTATTGTTTATCACTCAGCACAGCGTCTGGCTTCGTTCCCAGAACAGCTAATAACTGTAACTGATCTTAATTTCAGGACGTCTTCTACAGAATCATATCTGACTGTCGGTAGTTAGTGAGACAAGGGCCAAGATCAAATACATGAGAGTGTGTAGCCACTCTGTCCAGCGCTCACCCGTCTGCTTCAGGTTTATGTTGGTCATAATCTGTGGAGAATCTTCCACTGAAACTTCTTCCGAGACCTGGAGCTGGAGACTCTGTGAGCCTCAGAACATCTCACTCCAGGCTTCATCACTAATTGTTGTTGTTGTCCTATTTTTCAGTTATATAACAGGTTGTGGCCTCATAAAGGGCCGATATTGGTCTTGACCGTCCTCACTGAACTGGAATCAGTTACTCCTGAACAGGAGAGGATTCTTTTAATTTACTCCAGTTTGAGTGCTTGAAGAGAAAATCTCCTACCTTAGCACATCTAGAGACGTCATCTTTTAAAAACAAACTATCGTCTTACTGAAGGTTATATTGTGCCCTTCGTCTGAAACCTGCATCTAATGAGGGGAAACCTTCAATGTGTGTTATTGTGGACAGACCACTAAATCCTCTTTGGAGTTTTCTGGACTGTTCCTCATGCTTTGTATTTCTGTGCGAGATCTTTTCAAGATGAAAAAAATCCTCAGCCAATGTTTTGCCTAAAAATACTGCGTTATGTACAAATCCAATTCCAAAAAGTTGTGACAGTTGGGAAAATGCAAATAAAAACATAAAGCAGTGATTTTTACAGGTATTTAACTGAGAAACAACACAAAGACAAGACATTTAATATTTCACCTTATCAACTTTATTGATTTTTGTAAATAATAATAAAGTGCAACACTTTTCAAAAAACTTGGAACACGACCAAATCTGGGAAAAACACCTGTTTTGGAGCTTTTCAAAGGTAAACAGGCAAATAGGCAACAAGTGATGCTATTATATAAGAGAAGATTCACCAAAGGCTCAGTCGCCACTTCGTAAAAAAAGTGTGAGTGAGAACGTTTTACAGTAAAGGACTGAAACAAGTTTAGGAATTTCACCAGCTACAGTTCATAACATTAGTAAAAGGTTCAGAGAATCTGGAGAAAAGGGCTGAAAACCGTCCATCTGTTTCTCTGATACTTTATTAGCCCACTTTTACCCTGTTCTTCAGTGGTCAGGACCCCCATGGACCCTCACAGAGCAGGTACTATTTGGGGGGTGGGTCATTCTCAGCACTGCAGTAACGCTGATGTGGTGTGTTAGTGTGTGTTGTGCTGGTCTGAGTGGATCAGACACAGCAGTGCTGCTGGAGTTTTTAAACACCTCAGTGTCGCTGCTGGACTGAGAATAGTCCACCAACCAAAAATATCCAGCCAACAGCGTCCTGTGGGCAGCGTCCTGTGACCACTGATGAAGGACTAGAGGATGACCAACACAAACTGTGCAGCAGCAGATGAGCTATCGTCTCTGACTTTACATCTACAAGGTGGACCGACAAGGTAGGAGTGTCTAATAGAGTGGACAGTGAGTGGACAGTGAGTGTTTAAAAACTCCAGCAGCACTGCTGTGTCTGATCCACTCAGACCAGCACAACACACACTAACACACCACATCAGCGTTACTGCAGTGCTGAGAATGACCCACCCCCCAAATAGTACCTGCTCTGTGAGGGTCCATGGGGGTCCTGACCACTGAAGAACAGGGTAAAAGGGGGCTAACAAAGTATCAGAGAAACAGATGGACTACAGTCTGTAACTGTAGAACTACAAAGTGCACCTATATAGTAAGTGGAGCTGATAAAATGGACAATGAGCGTAGAAACAAGGAGGTGGTCAGAACGTTATGCCTGATTGGTCTATCATTTCCATATTAATAAAATATACTGTACATATAAATGCTGTGGCTGTGTCCTCGTCTCTCACGTCCCCCTTCTGTCTCGTTTCAGGTGGTCTGTTCTTTGCCAAGCCTATGCGCTCCAGAGGATATGTGACCATGCTGGACCCCTTCCAGCAGCTTTATGGGAAGAGAATGGGTGGTCTTCTCTTCATACCAGCCTTAATGGGAGAGATCTTCTGGTCAGCGGCCATTTTGTCAGCCTTGGGTATGTAGACCTGAAGACCTTAGTGTACATACTGTTGTTTACATACTGTGTTCTACACGCGTGTTTACAGGTCTGTTAAATCAGCTTTACTGTCCAATATCGATCTGATAGGGTGACTTTAATGTTTGAGAGCTCTAAAATGAACCTGCCTTCCTGCTTCGTGTTGTAATTCCTGTTTTTCCTCATCAGGCGCCACCCTGAGTGTGATAGTGGACATCAATATCAACATGTCTGTGATGATCTCAGCCCTCATCGCCATCTTCTACACGCTGGTGGGGGGGCTGTACTCTGTGGCTTACACAGATGTGGTTCAGCTCTTCTGCATTTTTGTTGGTCTGGTGAGTTTTTAATGAAATCCTTGGTGATGCAATCATAATACAGTCATAATTACCAAATCTCTTCACATTTCTACTGTCCATAGCTACATTTGATGCTTTTTAATTTCAATTTTTTATTTACAAAAGAAAATGTCTTAGTAATCCAGTAGGTCCGCCACTGTGGATTACCTCTGTAATTCAGTGATCTGTTGGTTATTTTGGTTTATTTAAGTAAAGTTCTTGTGAATGGTTGTTCTGTTTCTTACTGTGAGAGATACAAACCGCCAAATAATTTGATTTATGATTATGATTGATTTAGGCTAATTTATTCAAAATATACATTACAATCAATGATTTTTTTAACCCTTCTGTTATTTTCAGCAGTAATGTTTCCAGATCAAATTAACCTGATGCATGTTTTTCCATTCAAAAGTAGTTTAAAATTTTCTCCATAAACATTACCTTTAGCAGTTCATATCAATTTAATCAATATTTACTGTAGAAGTTACCCAAACTCCACTCACTGCACTCAATGAGAGAACAAACACTTTATGCTGTCTATCACTTATTATATTTTTATTTGCCTTTTAAAATTTAATTTTTTTATTATTTTAGTAACTAAATAAAGTGGAATTTAATTCAGTGAAATTTTTAAAAGCTTGGTTTAGAACATAGTTACCATCTTTATTTTATTATTATTATTTATTATTGTTTGGTCTTTTTGGCTCTCGGCCCACTGAAATACTTTGGCCTCCCCGAAGCAAAACAAGGCAAAAAGCTTGGGCAGCCCTGGTCTATGTGTGGATTGTGCATGACATCGGTTACAATAGCTCAAAGCAGTTTAAATTCATGTCCATAATAAAACGAAACAGGGAACAAAAATATGGAATTTGTCCATAAATTTTAGTTCAAAAAAAAGTTGAATTTAACATATTTGCAAAAATGAAACATAAAATATAAAATGTGCCATAACCTGTGCACAGGTCACATTTATGTATGTTTATGATTTTTAATTATGTTAAATATAGTAAATAAACAGTAATTGTGCATTTTAGTGTGTCTCTGTAGAGGACGTGTAACTTTTTACACTAAATCAACAAAACATGTCATTTGAACAGCGACTATAGGTGTAGAGTTACTAACTGTAGCCCAGCTGTCGCTATGCACAGCAGCCCTGTACCCCACTCATCATTGGTCAGTTTCTGGCCCAGGTTCGTTGTTGACCAGGTATTATTTGGGTGGTGGAGCATGCTCAGCTCAGCACTGATGCGGTGTGGTAGTGTGTGCGGTGCTGGTACGAGTGGATCAGGCACAGCAATGTTGCAGTGTTGCACTGCTAACTTGAGAGTGGTCCACCCCCCAAAAATGTCTGTCCAGCCAAGAGTGGTTCAGTTTACAGAAACTGTCCACTGGCGAAGGCCCAGTTCAGATGTGCAGAACTCTGGTCATGGAGGGCCGGCGTCCAGCGCATCTTGGTGATTTACCTGCTCAGAAACACCTGATTACACTCACGGGCTAATTGCCAGATCTAGTGGGTGTGTTTGAGTAGAGAAGCTACCAGATTGTGCTGGACACTGGCCCTCCTGGCCTAGTGGATGGCCAACCCAAATTGTTTTGTGTAACAGATGGGCTGCAGTCTCTAACTGTACACCAGCAGGCTGAGTCCAAAAGGAAGGGGTTTCTAATAAACTGGCCAATGAGATTCCTGAGTGGTGCAACCGTCTGAGCTGTGGATCCAGAGATGTCTGGGTGGGCAGGATGACCCCCCACCCCCATCATTCAGCACAGTGCTAGCCAACATGATTATCTGTTAGCTGTTAGCTGACGTGACAGAATTGGCAGTTAGCATCTCCTCATGAGCTCAAACAGGTGCAGTGGCTGACTTTGCGTGTCTCAGGGGAAGCTTGTGCTACTATGAGGCCTGTATGATCCCATTGGTTCTATGGGATCATCAGATTTAACAGGAAAAGCTTTTAAACGGTGTTTTCTGATAAACGTGTTCGATGCAGTGAAGCTGATGTCTCTCTCTCCTCTCAGTGGATCAGTGTGCCTTTCGCTTTAGCCAACCCCGCAGTGTCGGATATCGGAGTCACGGCAGTGAAGAAAGTGTTTCAGACTCCGTGGCTGGGAACAATTCAGCCTTCAGACGGCTGGATGTGGGCAGACAACTTCTGTCTTCTAGTAAGTCTCTGAGCTTATTTCTATGATTAAAAATGATAAACACCTGGCAAAAATCGAAAGGGTGATTTTTATCTCCACCAAACGAAACTGCATGCACAACAACAACTTTTCATCAAATTATAATAAATATCTTCTCTTGTACTTTTAAATGTGGTGTCCACACTTTCTAAAGACTTCTCTGCTTGTTTCAATGAGCCATGAGTCAGAAATAATGATTATACTGTAACTTAACTGCTTCGAAATGAAATAAAAGAGTGAATGAATGGAGTGAATGTGACTGTTGTTCAGTGCTGTAGGAGCTGATTTACACAGAGGCTCTGTGTTTGATCTGTGTGTCTCTCTGAGTCTGTACAGTGTGTGTGTGTGTTCACGGTGGTGGCTCTGTGTGTTGTAGATGTTGGGCGGGATCCCCTGGCAGGTCTATTTTCAGCGCGTTCTTTCTGCCTCTTCAGCTACTTATGCACAAGTCCTTTCCTTCCTGGCCGCCTTCGGCTGCCTCGTTATGGCCGTCCCTTCCGTCCTCATTGGAGCTATAGGAGCTTCTACAGGTGAGAGGATTAAGAGAAGAGCTTTTAAATGAATCACTTCACTTTGGGAGTCGCCTTCGGCTTTTGTGTTGAAATAATGGTTAAATAATGGTTAAATAAAGGTTTTTAACCAAACAATCTGAATCTCAGACATGTCACATAAACGCTTTACTGCACAGAATATGAAATATATATCAATCCCTTAAAATCCTGGCCTTATTACACACTAAGGCATGTTATTCTGTAACTACAGGAACTTTAAACATGCTAGAAACTCACTGAGCTATTCTAAGATTATTGAAGGGTTTAATAAAACCTCGGGCCTGCAGGCCCTGACCATTTAAGGTGTTAAAGTGTTTTCATGAATCATGTTTTTCATTTATTCATATATTAAAAAAGAAATGTGGCAGTGTGCACCGGGAGTAAACCAATATGCTGCCATGTGACATTCATCAAATGCCACATTCATCCAAACATCAAAGAAACAATGTGCAGATTAACCATAAATACATGAATGTTTTAACAATGCAAAAAAAAGATATAAAAGGTATTAAAGTAATTCTTAAAAGCCTTGGAATGTTAAACAGTGGAAATGGCAGTGTGTTCATTTACACCCACTGTACTCAGTGCTGATTGTGGTTCCATTGCTGTTTGCCATGTTCCGTGGCAGCAAAAGGCCCTTTTCACATTTCCGGGTTCTCACTTCCACCTGTTAGCAGGTCATTTTGTTTCCCGTCGAGCCAAAACAAACGGCTACAGTCAGTCTGAAGAGTGGAGGGTCCTAATTCAGAGTAAACGCCGGTGTTCATGTCTGCAGCGGTCACTTTGCTGAGCGGCATTTATAGGACTCCTTTGGGTCAATTAAGGCTCAGAGGTGCTGCTGTATCTGACGTTTCCTTTGGAATAACTTTCAAAAGCTTCCAGAGTCCCAGTGTTTATTCAGGAGCCACACGGATCAGAGCAGATGTTAACAGACAGGATGAGGAGGAGAAAGAAGTCGGCTTCTCATTTAAACGTCTTTTCCACCTTAATCGATGCAGCAGCCACCGATAATGGTGTGCAGGTGCCAGAACGTCACTGCAGCACCATTTAAGGTGGAGCAGAATATTTGAATAAGATATTTGTAATGGTTTTACCAACACTGGCTAACATATGTGTGTGTGTGTGTGTGTGTGTGTGTGTGTGTGTGTGTGTGTGTAGGGTTCTAGACAGTCAGAGGCTAATTATTAAAGCACCATAGTGCCTCTCTGAGATTGTCAGCAGGAGACCCAAATTGACTCTGAATTCTGGAGATTCAACAGACCAAAGCAGGCGTGAATCATGCATGTAGACAGTTTCAGAGGATTCCAGATGTTCCTGTCATCTATACTTGAAAAACGCTAATTTAACAGGGAATTCTTTGAATATTGCATCTGAAGAGGCTTAATTAATGTTGTTGATCACAAGCTCTCGCATCAAAGTGTCAGCTAATCAGCAGATGGAGAGAAAGAAGAGGCAAACTGACAGAATCCATCACAGCTGAGAGGAAACATGTTTACGGCTGAAAGGCTCTGCAGTGAACGAGCTCCTCCAAACAGACACTGATAGCATAAATACAGATAAGAATAATGTTGTAATCTGTCTGACGCTCCAGCGCGCATTTGTTCGCTTTCTATACGTTAATCTGTACGTAAATGTGCACTCAGCGCCACAGCCTCCACACCTGTGTGTCTGATGTACCGTCCGAATACTGTCTGGTCATCAGGATCTGTGTACTGATGAACAGGGTGGAGGGCAGCTGGTGAATCGTATATATGACAGCAGACGGGCTAAAGTCCGAAATTGTAAAAACAGTGGACTGTAAGATTGGTTGACCTCATTACAGTGGCCAGAGAGGATGGTCAGTGTAGGTGTGTTTAACAAAGTGTGATGAATGTGTATTTGTATCCTGTTGAGACAGACTGGAACCAGACGTCCTACGGTCCCGTCCCGCCGATGGAGAAAGATGAATCGGACATGATTCTGCCCATCGTGCTCCAACACCTTTGCCCGCCCTTCGTCTCCTTCTTTGGCTTGGGGGCGGTGTCGGCCGCTGTGATGTCATCAGCGGACTCATCCATCCTCTCAGCTAGCTCCATGTTCGCACGGAACATCTACCAGCTCGCCTTCCGTCAGTCGGTAAGGAACCTCAACACACAGCTGCACTGACCACACACAGAAACTCCTGCTGGGCACTTTACAGACTCCGTCTACAAACGGGTCACAAAGACGAGAGTGAAAACCTGCGTGGAAAAAAATGGACATTTTTATATATTAAACATGTAAAACACTCTGCAGTCGATGCTGAAATACATCCAAACACTAAAATGTATTTTAGAATATTTTGCCATATTAACCAAATATATTTTTAAACACATTTATTTTAAAATATATGGGGAAATATTACACACAGACAAAAAACTGTATAAATATGTTTATCAAATCCGTCTGAAAACGTATGAAAATATCCAGAATCCTGTCTGATGCTCTTCACTGTCTGATACCTTTAGAAATGAATTTGTGTTCCAGTATCTTCATTTTAAATCTGATCTAATGATCCTTTATCAGGACAGAAGCGAGTGTTGTGGGTATTGATACTCTGTGAAAATGCAGTTATGATCTGATATCTTGTTTATGTGAAGTACATTGTGTGTGAGAGTCTGACTGCAGACGTACATGGTTAATGTACCGTTAGTGGGATTCATACAGTTCATGTATATTTATTTATATCTGTATCCTTTATTAAAACTCATCCAAGCCTTTATGTTTAGGAGTGAACTACACCTGTCTTTGCTCTGTGTGCTTCTCTGCAGGCATCTGACCGTGAGATCGTCTGGGTGATGAGAGTCACCATCTTCGTGTTCGGCGCTTTGGCGACTGCCATGGCTCTGCTGACGGGGACGGTGTACGGCCTGTGGTACCTGAGCTCGGACCTGGTCTACGTCATCATCTTCCCCCAGCTGATCAGCGTGCTCTTCATCAAGGGTACCAACACCTACGGCTCAGTCGCTGGCTACATCTTCGGCCTGCTTCTGCGCATCGGCGGAGGGGAGCCCTACCTAAAGCTGCCACCTTTCATCTACTACCCGGGCTGGACGCAGGAGGAGAAGGTCCACCATCTGACGAAAGAGGTGGAGCACATCGTGGTGCAGAGGTTCCCCTTCAAGACGGTTGCCATGTTGGCCTCACTCCTGGGCAATGCTGTGTTCTCCTACGTGGCGAAGTATCTTTTCGAAAGCGGTACTCTGTCTCCCAAGTACGACTTCCTGGACGCTGTAGTTTCCAAGCATAGCAAGGAGATCATGGACAAGACGACCCTTGTTGGAAGTGACAACATTATATTATCCGAGATGGCTCCAGTGAAGCCCAGGATCGGATCCTCACTGGCGGGAACGTTCATGAACACAGAGGCTCTTAGTGATGAAGGAGAGACCAGCCCAGATTTAAATAATGAACTTCAGTAGAGGCCTCTGATTGGTGGAACGTCCTCAGTCCACACGTCTGTTAAAACTCCATGGCTGGTTTAGTGGATTTTGTTGTTTTTTTTCTAAATTGCTATGAAAATAAATGACTCTTGAAATTCACATGTAGGCTGTTAAAGCGAAACTGCTCGGATAGCAAACTTGCGAACCGAGAGGAACTGTGAGAAAACTAAGTGCAGTATTCGCCGAGGGTATGTACAAAACCTGTTTATGTTCTTTACGCATAGAGAGCTCATGATAGAGCAATAATATTTTGATACCATCAGCCACTGTACTGTACATAGTGATGCAGTATTTATTTTAGCTTATTTATGAGTGGAAGAGATAGAAGCTGTTTTAGCTCAGCAATCTTAAACATCCTATCGGTTCATACTGTAGATATGCATATTAGAGACCCAGATAGCCGATGATGTCATTGTATACAGAATGACACAAAGCTACACGGCCACCATACGTTCCCATTTGTTGTCTATGGATGTAATGTTGAAAAAACTCTCCAAACCAGTGGGAACGTTTTATTACACTGTGTTCAAGTTTATGATGTGTAACCTGACAGAACCAGCCAGACGCTCACGGCAAAAACATGAAACGAGGCCTGACTTGTAAAGGATCCGTAGTCGGTGAACAGACATGGGTCAAATCCAAAAAACACAAGATCCAAAAACGCAAAGTCAGAAAATCCAGAAACAAAGCCAAATGCACAAGAAGGCAAAACAAGAATGAGGAGACTCTCAGTAGCTCTACTGTGAAAAGCAACGCCTCACAAAGAATCCAGTCTAAAGCCCGAGCTTAAAAACTAAACTAAGACTGACGTGACAAACAGAGCAGGTGCAACAGATCAGTATTCAGGTAACTGTGAAATGTGATTCGTGGATTGCGAAGTCCTATGGTCACGTGATCTCCCAGGGGTTTCTGGGAAATGGAGTCCTTGTGTGGCGATAGAGGTGATAGAGTTCCTAATATGGGCATAACGAGGACTACAGAATGACACACGACTACAGTGGTCTATATCACCTTTATAGGCCAGTGGTGAGTGATGTTTGTTTAATTGAGCTCGAGCTGCTCCTGTCATCAGTTGGGACACAGCCATTTTGGCCATTTTAGGCTTTAGTACTCATTAGTTGCAATCAATTAACAAAAAAAGACAATTAAATTAGTAATCGAAATTATATAATATATGTGGCAATTAAAAGCCAGATAAAATTTCTTTTTTCTGACAGGCCAAAAAACACACTGTTATTGTGATGTATAATGCATAATGTGTGCATATTGTTCATTGGGTCACTTTGCTGCCCAGCTAAGTTAGCTAGCCAGTTTCTTCTTTAAGCGTTGGCTAGCAATGTTAGCATGCTAGAATCAGCTATTGTCTCACAAAGTTTAGTTTCTTTTTTCGTTATTCGTTTTTTTATTTTTCAAAATGTAAAATAAGAAAAATCAAATGTTCTCTGCAGAAAACAAAATGCCTTTGAGTTTGTTGCATATCTTACAGAAAAACACTGAAACTCTGTGTGAGTCTGTGGGAACACATACTTGAGTACTTGAGTACTTAAGAATGCACCATCTGTCCGCTATCTGGGCTCTAATATACTGTATATATACAGTGCTGTGCAGAAGTCTCAACCCATCTGAGAGAATGATGTGTAAAGCTATTATTCCAGGCAACAGTTAGTTGTTCACAAAACTCTTTGGCTGAGATCGTGATATATATATACATATATATTTGTATTAGATTAAAAACAAATAAACAATACATTGTGATTTTATGTCTGTTTGCTTACTTTAGAATCAGGAGCAGAACCGTGTTCTTACTGTATTCTTTGAACCAAGATATTATTAAATAATTTGGATATGAGACATCATTGCTATTTTGCACTGTATTAATGTTTATTTGTATTGATTTTAATGTTATAAAACACACTTATTTTCATGGCTGCCTGAGACTTTTGCACAGTAGTGTGTATATTAATATCTCTATGGTTGATACACATGAGGAGGCGGAGTAAATCACCAGCTCAGCTGCAGTTCGATTAGCACAGTTAACAGTGCCAAATGACCTCGTCACTGATGATGAGACCAAAGTGTTCTGTCACTGTGGATCACAGAGCTTTTCCTGTAGGATAATGTGGGCTTTGATCTGTCTCTGTCGAATATCCTGAATTGGTTTTGATCTTCAGATGATCATTTAGAGACGTTCATGCAGGTGGTGTGTTACACGTCTCAGTGATTTCTCTAGTCGTGTGATGTTGTCAGGTTACTTTATTATTTTTGGCATTCTTTTGGTAGCACATTATTTTACAGTATAGTAAGAACTTCGTATTAAATTATTAAATATGTACCTGTTTATCATCTCGTCATCTCATCTTCCACCCATTTCTCCGGGTGAGAGCTGCTGTGGATCCTCAGGATCCTCAGACGTTCCTAAATCTGCTGTGAGGTATGATCCCTCCAAAGGGTCCTGAGTCAGTCTTGGGGCTCCTGGCAGTGAGATGTGCCTTGGACAGTTCTAATAGGAGCCAACGAGAGAGCATCATTATGGGATGCCCAAACTATCTCAACTGACTCTTCTCGATTCGTAGTAGCAGCTGCTCCACTCCAAGGCTCCAAGCTCCTCACCCTGTCAGCGTTTTCCTCTCTGAGACTTACACTATTAGTGTCCACCAGCATGTCCTAGGATTGCAGTGCTGTAGGTATACATGTTCCGTTCAGACTCAGTGTCCCCATCTTCACTTGGGACCAGGAGGAAATCCCCTCATCCCTCATCAAAGCCTCTTCTAAATGCTTCCAGGTGGCCTGGAAGGCTCTCCTGGGTTCACCAGGTACATCCAGCTGCTACTTCAACTCTCCACTACTTGGTGATCAGCTGACACATCTTCCCCTCTCTTTACTCGAGTGTCCAAACCATTTGGCCTCACATCAGACAATATAATCACAAAATCACTGAGCTTTGGCCCAAAGTGTTCAGGTACCAGGTACAACTGTGCTATTGATATGTTGTGATTTGCACAGGTATCTAATTAAATTTCACCTACAGCTTCACATCCAGGAGGCTGTTCCTCCCAGACACCCCCAGGTATCTCCATTGTTCCCAATGTAGGACTGTGGAGTCAATGGCCAGCACACATTTAACCACCTGGCCCAGCTTTTCCCAGAAGGTTGAATAGTCCAAACTGCTATTTGGTGCATCAGCGTTGTCCTCTCTGAGACTTAAGAGTCTCATAGAGGCAAAAACTCCACTCTGCTGCCTTCAGCCTCAGACAGCCTAGAGTAGGACAAAGACCACCTGATCTGCAGGACCAACACTGTGCCCACACCTTTCCACCTCACACACCAACTCGGGCTGTTTTCCAGTGACATTCTACGTTAACAGTGCCAGTTTCTTTTTCCTCTGTCCAGAACTCTCCATCTCGTACCTGCTGCCCAACGGGCATCACTCCAGACCCCCGACTCTCACCACAAGAATGTTTTACCTTCTCATTTTGGAGATTTTGGAGACATGAGGCTTTTGTCCAACAGTGTAGACACAGTACCTGCTTGTTAGTGTGTTCACCTTCACTCATCAAGGTACAAACAGTGTAAATGTCCCCTCAAAGCTCCAACAGTGGTTTTAAGGTCTGATTGTGAACCTTAAATAAGTGTTTTCCAGGTGAAAAGTTTGTATTTGTACCTTTTCATAACTGAATGTTTTAAACAGAACAGTAAAATAAAAGCCTGGAGACGAGACGGGGTGTGTGGAGTCAGTACAGCTTAGAACATATCATTTCAGTGGATTATGGTTCAGTTATGTTCCCTGACTAAAGGTACTGAGATGGAGCACTTGAGGGTTCCACCCCAGTGACAGAAGGGGAACTGACCCAGTTAGTACCTGTATTTCTGAGAGTGTGTGATTAATATGTGATACTTGATGTTTGTGAGTAATTATTTTATTGTAGCACCAGTTACTGCTGTGCATACCAGTTATACCAGTTAGCTTTACTATAAGTTACTATTTACTTAACCTACAGAGTATCTACATGACATTACTCACAATTTATTACTATTTACTCATTAAGCCCTGAAAATCTCAGGCTTATTACACACTAAGGCTTATTATTCAGTATCTACAGGGACCTCAGTGCAAACTGGCTGAGCTGTTGAGATTATAGACGTGTGTAATAAACACTTTGGCCCAGTTGGTGAACTCCACTGTAAAATAAAGTGCTACCAAAATGTATCAGTTTATTAAAGAGTTCAGTGATAGAATAAGTCAAACAAAAAACAAACAAACACGTGTTTGTCCTCTGGATGATATCAGTGTTGTCACTTTTCCGCAATCGTGTTGTTGTTGTTGTTATTGTTGATATGGAATAGTCTGTTTTAAATTTGCCTTCATTTCCTTCACTCAAGCTCCTGGCCTGGTACCACACAGTGTGTCTGCCTGTGGTGTCCGGCAGTCCGTCCAGACCTAAATGAGAATGTATGCTTTCCTTCTGGCTTTCCAGGTAAATTGAGTATTAATCTTATATTCCTGTTAAGATTGTGGCCAGGAGTCATTGTGTTGGTTGCTTGACAGGCACATATTTGTGATTATCTGTTGTATTATTTGTTGTATAAAGAGCTGTATATTTTTATGTGATATGTGTACATATATAGATATAGATATACATATAGATATAGATATAGATATGGATATAGATATAGATATACAGCTCGCATCTGAGAAAGTGAAATCAAGGTGCATCAGTAGAAATGCTTTATTCAGCTGGAAACCATCTCTGTGAGAAAATATCTGTCTTTCTATTTACTACAATGTACAATATGGTGATGAATATATCAGATGTGAGGAATAAATTATTTTGTTTGGCGCTGCAGAGTGTTTGCTTTTTAAAACATATATATATACAGACAGTCCCCTGATAGTCTGACCTGACTATCTGACTGTATTACACAGAACTGCAATACCTGCTATGGGATAATATTCTGAAGATGTCACAATCGCTGCTATT